GCCAATGGCGTGTGAAGCTCACATACTTAGTTACGCACGTCTTTAAAATACAGTGAAAACTATTAAAAAATCAGAACGTATCATGGGGGGTCAGGGTTCAGCGGGGGGTCAGGGTTCAGCCAACCATTAAAGATAACCCGACATCACACACTTAACGTTCTGATTTGTAGCAGCAGTTGCTGGATGAAACGACACCATTTTTTTTTTTTGGCATTTCGATACAAACGGTCACATAAAATATTAAAGAAATTATGCTATATATATATATATTATATATATATATATATATATATACATGCTATATATAAACAATAAAGTGTCTATTGAATTTCACGCCTGTATCATGTCGTAAATTGTCGTAAACAAGAGATATTATCATAGTATGTATTTTTTTAAATAAACAGTTAAAAAAGTAGGCTACATAAAATAGTTTACAGCACAGTGCACAATTACATAGGCCTGCATTGTTTATTTTGATATTAACAATTTTTCTAGATGATACAAAAAAATGTGTTAGTGTGTTTTTATAATATTAGAGTTCCCTTCTTTTCAGTGATAAAACGAAAGAAAAGAAATGTGCTGTGTGAGAGAGTGACCCACTGACTACTGATTAAATAATATAGGAAATGAGTCTAGCGGGTTCTTATCATTTGCATTTCCAGATCCATATGCTACGATGGGCATGGCCAAGATATTCATCTCACCATTCTCTCCTATTGTCACTATTATAGGCCTATATCAGTACTATAACTATTGATGTGTACCGTATCTAAACTTTGATGATCCACACCATTGTTGATTAATGAATTTAATGGACATAGCTTTTACTGAGGTCCCAATGAAGATATGTCCAATGACATATTTTTAAACAAATAAAGTTTATTATCATGAAAAATTGATTTTCAAATTTTCAGTCAGTAGGTTTTCAGAGGTTTTAGGTTTTCAGAGAGGTTTTTTTTTCCAGAGGTTTTTAGGTTTTCAGAGGTTTCAGGTTTTTATGCATATACATGCAAATGAGTTTTCTTGAAGAAGAAAAAAAAAAAAAACGACATCGGATTTTTTTAATGTCACTTGAGACACTGTCTTTATTCAGATAATAATATATAACAAAAATTAAAAACATTTTCAAACAGGTAAGATCTAACAGATTTTGAAATATAACTCAATCTTTGTAGTCAAATATCTTAAAATAATGAACAATGTCAGGTTTGAAATCACATGTTTTTTTCAAAATAAATTGCATTTCAACACATATTGATTGTTTCATGCAACCCAGCAGAAAAGATAGCAAGATACATGATTTCCAATTTGGATTAACTCATGTGTATAGTTGAGGAGGTCAAAAAATACCATTATATTCTAAAGATATTGTGGGTTATGAGAAAGGGAATAATGATTTTTATTTTATTTAGAAAGTGATTTTTTCTTCAAATGAATGCAACACTTTTCAAACTGACATCCTTGGAAATAGCTTGAAATAAATTTACATTAAAAAAAACCTACTTGCTCTCTCTCTCTCTGTACATAAGTTAATATTAATAAATAAATAAATATATATATTTATTTATATGTATAGATGTGAATGTTCAGTGCATGTAACTACAGAGAAGTAGCTCGTTAAGGTTTAAGTTAGTTGATGTATTGGCCACTGTGTGACCTTTATTGTTTACAATGTCTGTTTCCAGGTTGTAGCCCCCTACATGTAATCTGGATATGGCTCGTTATAGTATCTCCCTGGCATAGGTTTCTGATATTCAGTGTCTGAAAAAAAAAATTTATTGAATATCTGCAGCAAAAAAAAAACATGACCCTGTTTTAAGAGTAACACAGTGCAAAAAGATAACTTTAGACAATTAAATTAAACCTAAATAATTTTTTTTTAAAAATTACATAGCAATATTATTATTTCATACCTTGATATCTATTATGTGTTTGAGGGTTATTTCGCCATTGAGGATCTGGTCTATTTGTTCTTGTTGAATAGTGTTGCATGTCACCATCTGTGGAAATTACATAGTTCAGTATATAAAATATATTCTTGAAAGGAAATAAAACTGAATAATTAGTTCAAGATGTTTTAAAGGCATAATGATTATAAGCTAGTAATAGTATTGGATTATCAAGCATTGAGAAATTATTGTAGAAAAAATCTGCCTTAAGTTTTTTCTTTGTTTACTTTCCAAAGAGGCTTAAATAGCACTGTATTAGCATTTTATTACAATAACCAGGGAGCAGATTATTAATGAGTTATGAAAATAAATTCTCTTAATTTGGTGTGCTAAGCAATATTACTTAATTTTTTTTAGTAGCTGCTGTTTGAAGTTACAGTAATTCCTAAGTATTTGAATTCATGAAATATATTATGGCAGGGTGAAAAATAAAAATCTACCAGGTATGATAGAGATGTGTTCTATATTTTGACATATACACATACAACTTAGATCAATTATGTTATAAACAATATTTAATACTAACAATGAGGCCTACCTTGATTCATATATATATATATATATATATATATATATGTGTGTGTGTGTGTGTGTGTATAAAGCACATAAAGAAATGCCATCAGTGGGCTAGTGCTCTTTATGCCCTCTCTAAAGTATTACCCCCCCCCCACCCCTTTAAGCCTAAGTATCGGGCCGCAAAGCACACGCTGCTGGAGATGTCCCTTTACCAGGACAGCCCCCACCCAATTCTGCTCGTGTATAAAGCACATAAAGAAATGCCATCAGTGGGCTAGTGCTCTTTATGCCCTCTCTAAAGTATTACCCCCCCCCACCCCTTTAAGCCTAAGTATCGGGCCGCAAAGCACACGCTGCTGGAGATGTCCCTTTACCAGGACAGCCCCCACCCAATTCTGCTCGATCGGGTTCCACTGGGACCCGCCCCAATCCAAGGACACCCGGTCGGTCCAACACTGTACATACAGTACACACGATCAACCTTCCTATGAGCCGGGATCGTAAATTTATGTCCTACTATCTTCCCCCACCCATCCCGGGGAAGAGGGTTTCTACAGTGGGTTTTTACCTCGCAACTAGTTTGCAAAGTAGCTGGGACAAAACTGTTGCCTAGGAGCAACTTTCTCAGGGCTGGGTAAATAGAATTATCGGCTAGAGGTTTCCACCTTCGCCTCTTGCCTCATATCCATCAAGGGCAACTTGTAATCATGATCCCTACCCTGTCTCTGCCTTTACTTCCAACAGTGAAGTGTCACAGTTGGCTGCCCTGTACATGCTATTTTTATTCCCGCAGGTACCATGCATGTCCCTTGTCTCATATAAATAGACCTACTTTGATTAATATAAATAGATAAATTTTATTGATATAAATATATATACTTTAATATAAATTGGCCAATTTTGATTCATAAAAACATAATTTTTTTTTTTTTAGAATGAGGTAGCGCAACATAAATATGCATTAAACATCCATGTAAGAAGACAAATTTTAATATTGATTAAAAGAAGAATGCATGGAGGCTTTTCTCATTAATGTATGTTTAGCCGTTGGTAAAAGATATTTTTTGGCACACATGTGGCATTTAAAAAGGTGCTAACGTTGACCTAAAAGTAAGTACATAAAAAAATCTTACTTGTGACCCAAAGGCTTTCCTTGTCAGGAATGAATCTGGGCTTGTTTTGTTTTTTATTTGAAGGTCTCTTTGAGCCATTAGGTGAGGATGCTTTATAATTTTTCAATTTACTGAAACAAAAATATAAAAAAAGGTAATTTCATACTCTCAAGAACTTTTAGATGTTTGGAAGTTTTAAATCTATGTTAATCAAATTTTTTGAACGTCAAATAAGTAATTTATATTTGCTCAGTGTCAAATTTGGTTTATTTGACATGTTAGTTTTAGTTGCAGGTGTGCTGTGTTCTTGTTGTGTTATTCAGGAAACAATTTGATGGAAAAAACTCAATGCCATGTTGCGAAAATCCAATTTTTTTTATATACACTACGTCCAACTCTTGCTCAAAATGTATACTATACTCATGGCTCAGACTTTTTAACAAATCTGGTGTTTTCCTAGACAACTTATTTCAAAATAAGTTATCTTCAATGATCGGCAGATATTTTAAAAACACTTGTCTAATCTGTTCAGTTACTCCTAACCCCAATACATACACCCCCTCAGATCTTTCAACCGTCTATCCTCACGCCTTCTTTTAGTAAATAATTCTATATTCAAAGCTAACTGGTTCTACATATTAATTAGCTCAAAGACTAAAAATAAACTTTTTACACTTTTTGTCTCAAAATAAAATAACAATTTTAATTAACTTTAACTAGTCACTAAGTGTAGATTTTTTTTTTTTTTCCTTTTCTTTTTTTTGGTCTTGTTACTGGATATCTATATTTACTTAGATTTTAGAGTTTACAATAATTCTGTTTCATGTTAATGGCTTGGACAATGGCTAGCCCAAACTTATTCTCCATACAAACAAATGAACAAAATCCTAAGAAAAACACATTTTGGATAAAAATTTCAAACAAAATAGAGTTTGACACAATGTTCTAAGAATCTATTTCCAAAATACCACTCTTACACTTTCCATTATTGGTGTGCCACTTGCTTTTTAGACCTCCTTCCATCAACCATATTTAATTCAAATTTTGATAAATATTCTGAGCACAACACTGATAAGCTATATTTATTTATCTCAATTCAATCTTGCATTTTAAACTGACCTTTTTTTTCTATAGACTTTCACATCATGTAAAGGTATTTGGGGCTCCTTTTCTTTCTCACGTTTCTTTTTTGTGGTGAAGCAGCAGATTGTCACAGTGATGCATACACATAATAATAGGAAGGCAGGAATCCCAACACTCAAGCCAATAATAAAATTTCTGTGGTCTGTGACGTATATTTAACATATTTACCAATGTTAAAGAAAGTAAATTATGCATGAAAGCTATATCAGTTACATTACATGTCCGTTTTACATACAATTAATGATGTATGTACCATATATATAAACATATAGGGCTAAATGCAAATCCCTGAATTGGAATCCTTAAGGTAACAGGAAAAGAGGAAGACAAAGAGCCACATGGAATATCAAATTAGAAGTAGAGGTGAAGAGAATGAATAAACATTAGGTTGAACTGGCATAGATAGCCCAGGTCAGGGAAGATTGAAAAGTATTGTGGATGGCCTGGCCTATCCTCCAATACATAATTTCAATATTGTTTGAATAATCAATGAAATTTTTATGGCAACAATAAACAGAGTTGAGAAGGTTTGGGCAGAACTATTCAAAATTTGATATACTTAATTTTATAGGTTTATTAAATATAACTAATGTAGGCTATCTTTGTTTAGGGTATTAAAAAGCATTTTGAAGTTAAACTATTTTCCAATTTGTTTTACAAACCTTTTTCTTTCAATAGCCTGAAATAGCAAAAAAAAAATAATCTATGACATAAATGTCATAAAAATCAAAATAAATGTGCAATTTTAATTTAACTCTGCTGAGCACAGTGGTAAACAGCATTATTTTTAACCACAACTCCATAGCACCTCCATTAAATGCATCTCTAATGTCATTTAAAACGAAGTGATAGATTAATAATTGCACAATGGCATTTAATGTCTTAACAGCATTTGCTGTAATTAAAATAATTATTTTAAACAACAACTAACATGCAAATAGTCTCTTGGCCTTGTTGGTGACATTCTTCTGTAGGCAAGCATGGAAACAATTTGCTTCTTAGGTCACAAGGGCTGTCTGTCTGATTAACTAAAATTACAAAATAAATGTGTCACTCAGTAGCAAAACGTTAATAAAACCATTAGAAGCTAAATATCTATTACGTTTAAGAGTTTTCTTATTCTAAAAAAAGTGTTTCCTCAAATTTATGTTTATCCATAAGTCTTAACCATATTCTCAAAATGAAGACATGCAAGCTGTGCATTTATAAATAGGACACATATAAAATATATGTGATATTAAATATCATCTGAGTAGGCAATTCCCATAAGCTAAAGGAAGTAATATGTACTTGTCAGTTAAGCTTGATCCAAACATAGGCAAATGTATTTTCAATGCATGATTAAAAGACATTCTTCATTATATATAACATGTTTGTACCTAACACTTCAAAACATAAATTCAAATAGAAATGTTATGTAATCAGATTTATTTCATTTTATAAACTTATGTTCAGACCATTTAATTAATTAATTTAAAAATTAATGTACCGGTATTTCAATTCCTACAAGACAATTAAATAATCACATAACCACTTGTAGTTTAAAATTATTTGTTAAAACTAAAAATGGGCAACAAATTTTTCAAATACACAAAATATAAACTGGTTCAATCTTTTATCTTTATCTTTACCTGAATACATAATTTTATTATGTAAAATAAATAAATAATATGATTCCACTCGTAACCCAAACATGTTTTAAGTTATATATGATGATTTATAGGCTATGATTTTTTTTTTTTTTTTTGTATTTTTTTTAATATAATACTTTCATTTTATTTAATTATTAATAACAACTTGGGACATCCTTGTACTCGTAACCCAAACATGTTTTAAGTTATATATGATGATTTATAGGCTATGATTTTTTTTTTTTTTTTGGCAATTTTTATAACATAATACTTACATTTTATATAATCATTAACAACAACTTGGGACATCCTTGCTGCTTGATTGTTGAGGATAAAGTCACTTTCATTGTGCATGATAGAAAACAGAGCTTGAGTTAAAAAATTAATGGTTTGGTTGGTGCTTGGAACTGTAGATCTTAGCACCACAATACAATCAGAAATGAGGCTTCCTTTGCTAAAATGAAATAAAAATAGAATAAAATTGAGTATTTATTCATGTATAAACTCAAGTCTAGAAATTATTCTATAAAAATAGTTGTACAAATTTTAAATACAATTAAGAATAAATTCATAACACATCTCTTAAATGACATGTCAATATGTGAAGCTTTATAATATTAAGTTTTATAAGCTAGCCATGATGTATCAGGACTACCACCAATGCTCCAATTCTTGACAAAAACACAAATATGCAAATGACAAATAATTCACTGTTTCCAATGTCTTAGGTTAAAAAACTAATAACAATCTTCACTCCTCCCCACACTGAAGCCAAACATACAGCTTTTGAAAGGGATTAAGCTCTGCCAAAACATAAACATTTCATTTCCCATAGCTGCAATTCTGAAAGTGTCTATTTTTTCTTTTTAAAACCGACAAGGACAAACTAAATCTTAAAGAATAAATCACAATGTATTAGAAAAATTACTAACTAATATATGTACACTTTACCTTAAAGAAATTACAGTGACTGTGATGACTGTAGGCATGTGATTTATCAGCTTACTCATTAGCTAAATTTAATAAATGTGCAAGGAAAAGAAAAATATAAATGGATGAACATTTTTAACTTCCTACGGTATATATTAATAAGTTAAGTACGGTATTGAGCATTTAGCTTGAATTATTGTTTTTTTTATATCTTTACTTATTCTTTCAATAGCACTAGAGCTGCATATTGCCAAAAATATTTTAGAATCAATGGAACCATATTTTCAACCCTAAGAAAGTCATAACTGGTAGGCCTTTGAAATGATTTTTACAAGAAAGACATTGCAAAATTATTTCCTAAAAGAAACTTTAAAGTGATAAAAATAAAACTGTTATAGACTTATAAAAAAAAAGTTTTTTAAATGTTAAATGTGATTATGAGCAATAAGTTGTCAATATCTCAATCAGTTTAAAATATTTATTAAATTAATAAGTACATTAGTTTCCAAATCTTTTGAAACAGCTTGGAAATCTCTTGAACTTTGGTCTTTCAGATTCAAATTTGCTGCATCATAGATAAAAATTAATCTTGTTGGAAGACTCTGAATGTACCCCTTCTCTATGAATTAAAATAATGCAGAAAACACAGTCAATAAAATTTTATAAAGTTCATAAAATAATTTTGGCTTCCAAATTTACTACATTATGCATGTATGTTTTTTTAATGTTAATTGGCCTACATTTTAATATTAAATAACTTTATAAATGTAAATTTTTTTATAACAGTTATTCTTTTGCATAAATTGTTAGATGTTTGTAATATTTTGGGGTCTCAAATGAACAGTGAAAGATATCCAAAAGATGCATGTTAACCAAAGTTATTTACCACATTCACTATCAGGAAATGATCTTGAGAAGCCCGGCTCACAGAGGCATTTGTATCCACCTTTGGTATTGCTACAAAGTTCATGTCTTTCAATAGAGCATTTGTTTTTTTGTATTTGACATTCATCTACATCAAGTTCACAGTTTTTTCCTTCCCAGGGAGCATTGCACCTACATGTTCCATTGACATGATCACAAAACTCTGTATGTTCTAATTCACATCCGCATTTTTTGATACAATTATCACCATAAGTCCACTGTTTGCACGCTTCAAAAAATTAAAAAGAAAATTATTTAATTAATATTGTTGAAATTTTTAAGTTACCGGTATTTATGATTTGTATTAAATTATTATATACAACTAATGTTCAGAATTTTTGAATTTCATATAAAACTCTTGGCTTGTGGTAAAAAAAATTCCCCAAAATCCATTTCAAGCTTTCATTTTGCTGGAAGTGCAAGTCATTGGCTTAGGAAAGGGGTATAAAAGTGGGCTGTCCAACTCTGGTGATGCTTTTTCACTTAGCTAGCGAAACGAAGTGTTTGCAACAAAAAGAACAATACTGAAGGCCAAATCTAACCAGGAATCAATATTCTCCTAGGAAAAATGCAGTCGAGATTGCCATTCCAGGATTGGCCTACATAGCTGCCACTCGTCCAACTCTGCTGATGCTTTTTCACTTATAGTGAGAGGTAACTAGCGAAACGAAGTGTTTGCAACAAAAAGAACAATACGGAAGGCTAAATCTAACTAGGAATCAATATTCTCCTGCGAAAAATGCAGTCGAGATTGCCATTTCAGGATTAGCCTACAGAGCCACTCGTTGAAGTGTACATAGCTACTCCAACGTCTTGCGAAGACAGAAGGGTGCCATATATTGAGGGGTAGTATGTGCAGTCAAATGCAGAGTTTTTGTTTTCATGGAATAGGGGGCAGTAAAAAGCTTTCAGCTTAGGGCAGCACTTATTGTAACTATACACTGTTAAAAATGTATCAAACATAATATATTACAGATCATAGTTCATCTAATTGTATGTGATCATCAAAGTTCATTTTAAAAAAAGAGAGTATTTAATCCTAATTTGAATATCCAAATTCCTGGTTAAACATTTAATTATAAAATTTAAAAAAATACAAAAAAAAATTATCTTAGAAACAAAATCACTAAATTTTAGCCCAGTTAAAAAAAAAATCTAATGATTTCAAAATAATTATGTTCACTTACTAAAATAATAAACTTATGTCATAATATGCAATAATTCAAAGCTATAACAATTTAGTGCAACATAAAACTTATTGAGACAAATTTAAAATCTATTACCTTGGCAAGTTCCATCTGCATTATTTCCATGAAAATATCCAATATCACATTCACAAATGTAGTGGCCATCTGTATTGACACAATGAGAGCTTTCTCTGCATACATATATATTTCTTGAACATTCATCTACATCTGTTTCACAGTCATCTCCCTCCCATCCAAGTTTACATGCACAGGTCCCATGAACATTTTCACATGTCTCAGTATTGGATACTTTACAGCTGCAGTTTTGTTTACACTCCTCGCCATAGCTCCAGACACTGCATCCTTTGTTGGAGAAAATATAAAAATAAATATCAATTGATAAATTACTGATTATCATAATTAGCTTATTATGAAATGAAAAAATAAATGTTTAAAAGTAACATAATATACCCAGTTAGATCATATTATTTATATTTACTTAATGGAGAATACTATTTTATTTGTTATCATTGAAATTATTTATAAATTATTTGTTCAAATTTGATTTTATTAATCACCTTGACAAGTTTGATTTTGATCAATTCCATCAAAGAAACCAATATCACATTCACAAACGTAGGAACCATTGGAATTGACGCAGTGTGAATTGTTTCTACATGAATATGTTTTTATCAAACATTCATCTATATCTGTCTCACAGTTGTCTCCCTTCCACCCCTCTTTGCAGGCACAAGTTCCATTAACTTTATCACATGTTTCAGTGTTGGGGATTACACAGCTGCAGCTGTTTATACAGCTCTCACCATAGCTCCAAAGATGACATACTGTGGTTGTAACAAAAAATAATTGAATAATTAACAAAGAATTTACATTCACAATTAATTTTTTTTTTTTTTAAAGTATCAACAAAAAAAATTATGTTAAAAACAAAAATCACTAAATTTTAGCCCTGTTAAAAAAAATCTAATGATTTTAAAATAATTATGTTCACTTACTAAACTAATAAACTTATGTCATAATATGCAATAAATCAAAGTTATAACAATTTAGTGCAACATAAAACTTATTGAGACAAATTTAAAATCTATTACCTTGGCAAGTTCCATCTGCATTATTTCCATGAAAATATCCAATATCACATTCACAAATGTAGTGGCCATCTGTATTGACACAATGAGAGCTTTCTTTGCATACATATATATTTCTTGAACATTCGTCTACATCTGTTTCACAGTCATCTCCCTCCCATCCAAGTTTACATGCACAGGTCCCATGAACATTTTCACATGTCTCAGTATTGGATACTTTACAGCTGCAGTTTTGTTTACACTTCTCGCCATAGCTCCAGACACTGCATCCTTTGTTGGAGAAAATATAAAAATAAATATCAATTGATAAATTACTGATAATCATAATTAGCTTATTATGAAATGAAAAAATAAATGTTTAAAAGTAACATAATATACCCAGTTAGATCATATTATTTATATTTACTTAATGGAGAATACTATTTTATTTGTTATAATTGAAATTATTTATAAATTATTTGTTCAAATTTGATTTTATTAATCACCTTGACAAGTTTGATTTTGATCAATTCCATCAAAGAAACCAATATCACATTCACAAACGTAGGAACCATTGGAATTGACGCAGTGTGAATTGTTTCTACATGAATATGTTTTTATCAAACATTCATCTATATCTGTCTCACAGTTGTCTCCCTTCCACCCCTCTTTGCAGGCACAAGTTCCATTAACTTTATCACATGTTTCAGTGTTGGGGAATACACAACTGCAGCTTTTGTTACAGTTCTCACTATAATTCCAAAGATGACATACTGTGTTTGTAAAAAAGAAAATAATTAACAAAGAATTGACATTCACAATTTATATATTAAGATATTTCTTATGTACATCATAAGCTGTGTGAAGTTAGTAAATAGTTGTAGAAATATCAGAAGGCTTAAATAAAAAAAAAAAAAGAACAACTAAAAGCTAGATGCTTTCTCCAGATATCTACTAAATGCAATAACAATAGGTAATTATAAATTAAAAATCCAAACATGAAAATCTTATTAAAGTCTTATAAATCATAATTGTTTTGCCTGTAATCCCTAAAAATAAAGGCAAATAAAATAAATAACATATATATATATATATATATATATATATATATTCATTAACTCAATATCGTATTCTATAGTAAACATGTATAGGCCTATTTATGTTATCATTTGAAAAAATTCTAATAAATTAAACTTTTTGCAAAGTTCAACATCTAAAAATGTATCCTTCCATCTTCATCATTTAGATCCATTTTAAGAAATTTAAGCATATGTCCTTGGCCAAGAAATGTATCATTTTTATTATTGCATTACATTTTTTAATGAATAATATTCAATCATTATTTAAAAAAAAATAAAAAAACAGATATAAAAGACTTTTTTATTATTTTGTGTAAAAAATTACCACAAAAAACAGGAACATATATTTAAAATAATTATAAGCGTTGCAAATTTTCTTATTTTACATTGTATATGTCTTTTAAAGAAAATAATCATTAAAACTGTATTCACTTATAAGCATTAAAAAAATGCATTTAATTATTAATAATCATTTGTCTCTGATATAACTGTCACAAAAAGGTATTTATATTTGTAGTTACATAACAAATGAAGGGAAAACTTATTTGAAATAAAGTTGGTTTAAGAGTTCAAATACATTATGTAATTATTCATTTGAGATTCATATGAAACAACATTTCAAATATTTAATGTTTTCAGCAAAAGCTGCTCTCTTTTGAATATTTGTAAAAAAAAAAAAAAGTTCAGGAAAGCACAATAAACTGTCCTATGATTGTGAAAAAAACTGATGTCATTGTAAATAACCATAAACAAAAGCAAAATTAAAACTATGTAATCATGTAAATAATTATAATATGGAGTTGTTATAAGAAATTTAAATGTGTAAATAAATAGATTAATAATAAAAAATCATCAGAAAAAATACAATTTTAAAATGATTTCTTAGTGCAATAATATGTCGTCGCCCAATTAAAAAAAATTGTTTTAAAAATCAGTATGAAAAGAATATAACAAATACACATAATTAACTAACCAGTCTGAATAAGTCAATCCCTGTTTAAGTCCCAAAGTGAATTAACATTGTCAGGTTGAATTGATAATGATAATAAATGTTTTTTTAATGTATCTTTGTTAAAAAAATGCTTAAGTGAAACATAAGTCAGACAAAATCATAAAGCAGCTAATGCTTAAAATGCACAAAGCTCTTGAAGCAAAGTTAATTAATTGAATAAAGGAAAAAATATAATATTTTCATTTTTAGTTGATTAATTCTTTAGCAATGAAAATTCAATATGTACTTACATGTAATCAGTACTAATAAAAGAAACATTTTGTTTTTAAAAACTATTACTTAAAATTTTTTTAAAGTTTATAATTATGAACTTAATTTCCAAAAGCCATTACTGCTTTTAAATATAGGCCTATTTATTGTAGGATTGGTCATCTGAGCAATACTCACAAAAACAGATAACTAATAATATATGTAAAAGCTTTTCTAAAAGCAAAGCTTTGCATCAAATTTGTTTAATTCATGTTTTACCTTCACAGTCCCCATCTTCATTTTCTTTCTTAGAGTAACCTACATTGCATGTGCACTGGTATGATCCATTTGTATTAAAACAATAAGAATTTTTCTTGCACATGAATACATTTTCTGAACACTCATCAATATCTGCTTCACAACTTTTTCCACTCCAACCCACAAGACATTCACAAGTTCCATTTACGTTGTCACAATACTTGGTGTTTGAAGTGATACAAGTGCAATTCTGTTTACAGTCAATTCCATATTTCCATTGATTGCAAACTTTGGAAAGAAACATTATAAAAGGTATATTTATTCAACAATGTAAAGGGATAAACTCCATAGCAAAAATGTAAATGTATTTGTAAAAAGCTATCCCTTACTTAACTTGGTAGTTGAAATTTATTAACAACTTATCTTATATGAGATTTTTCAAAAAATGTTTATTGATTATTTTCAGATTAGCAAAAAATTAAATATTTTCTCTTTGTTTGAGAAAACTTGTAAAACTTTACAATCACCAATAGTTACTACTTTCAGAAAATCCAATAATACATTCAAGCATATCAGACTAAGAGCGGTTGACACAGCAATAATGGTTAAGGTATGAAAATGTTTTCCCTGACACATCAATTTATATTTTGAACAGTTATATCCCTTCCATCTTCCAAGACTTGTATTTTACATGCACAATTATTTTTTAATCACAAAAATGTATGTAGCATTCAAAACAGCTGATGTTTTTATTGCCATTTAGTCAAAGGCTCAATTTTTTGAAAACTAAGTGGGAAACATGTTTTAGATAGTTAAATAGTAGTTATATAACAAGAAATAATAATGAAAACAATTTGAGAAAATCCATCATATATTGCCTACCTTTGCAATCTCCATGCTGCATACCATCATCCAAGTAACCAGCCAAACAGTCACACAAGTAAAAACCATTTGTATTAACACAGTGGGAGTTGTTTCGACATGAATATATTTTCTCTTTACATTCATCTACATCTGTGTCACAGTTGAATCCTGTCCATCCTTGTTTACAATCACATGTCCCATTGATGTTATCACAATAGTTGGTGTTTGATGGCACACAAGTGCAGTTCTGGTAACAGTCTTTCCCATAATTCCACATGATGCAAGCTTTAAAATAAATTAAGAACAAAGGTATTTTTAAAAAATGAAATTAACAATATAGAAAATAAGATTAGTACAAACAGAAAAAAAAAACTGATTGTATTTTCTTAAAATTTATGAAGGTTAATAAAATTATTTTCAATTAATGTGGAATATAAATAATTCAATTGTTGTCATTGTTATTTCACAAGTGGTAGCTGTAAAATTATATTTGAAACATTTATTTAACATTATAGAATACAACAAAAGTTTTTAAAATATACTAAATTGATTAACTGTCTTTAAAAAAAATAAAAATAAATAAAGAATGCATGATTATGATATACCTTTACAATCTCCTTGCTGATCATTTCCATCAAAGTAACCAACATTGCATACACAGGAGTAAGATCCATTTGTATTGACACAGTGTGAATTGTTTCTACAGGCAAACATTTGCTCAGAACATTCATTTATATCAGTTTCACAGTTGTCTCCCTTCCAGCCATATTTACAATCACAAGTTCCATTTACTTTATTACAGAACATTGTGTTGTTTCTGATACAGGTGCAACTGTTATTACATTCATCACCATATTTCCATTGGCTGCATTCTTTGATTATGATGAAATAAATGTATAAATATATATTATACAAAGATATATATATTATTAATTGCTTCTTTATTCTCACAATGAACAATATATTTGTTACATAGTATTTAAAAAAATGCTTTTAAAATCTATTTGATTACCAAAAACAATATTAATTCCAAATTCCAATGTTAGCTTTTTTAAAAATGTTTTGATTTAAAATTTTGTTTAAATGATGCATAAATTTAAATTGAATATTTTAATTACCATCACAATTCCCATAGTCTTTATTTCCATCAAAGAAGCCAACATCACATTTGCACAAGTAGGAACCATTTGTATTGACACAATTTGAGTTGTTTCTACAGGTAACATTTTTCCATAAACACTCATCAAGATCTTTTTCACAGTTGTCACCTTCCCAGCCGGTTTTACATTGACAAGTCCCATTAACTTTGTCACATGTTTGAGTGTTTTCTGTCACACAATTACAATTCTCTTGACAGTTATTCCCAAACTTCCATTCACTGCAATCTTCAAGAAAATAAAACAAACATGCTTTGTTTTAAAAACTAAAAAAATATGGAGTACATTAATTAAAAAGCTCCTGAAATACTCTTGAGAAGATATACATTCCTTATTAAAAGAAAACAAGTTTTGGTAAATACATGGCATTAAATGATAAATGCAAAGGGAAATGTTAACAAAAAATAACCATTATTTTAACAAAGACTTGACCATCTACATTTTTAAAATTATTTATTCCTGCAAGCATGTCTTTATTATGTTTTACTTATACTTTACTTGTTTTTAAAAAAAATAATATAAATTGAAAAATTAAGAATGAAAATGTTTAAATTTTGACTTTTTCTCTATAATCTTTAACTATGTTTGATTCTCCCTTTGTGCATGCTAAATATAAGATTCATTAATTTCAATGGATCTATGGAACTTCAATACTTTTGATGACACTCAAGTATAGTTCAGTTAAAAATGAAAATATTGCAGGAAAAATTATGGATTTTAATTGTGTATTAACTCAAAATGACAACATTTAGAAATATTATAATACGCATGTATTAAGATTTTTATCTTGTACATTTTGAAGTATAAGTGTAGACTCTATATTTATATTTAGAAAAACAACTTTTTTACACATTGTAATAGCTACAATATTATAAAATTAAATACCTTTACAATCTCCTTGCTGATCATTTCCATCAAAGTAACCAACATTGCATACACAGGAGTAAGATCCATTTGTATTGACACAGTGTGAGTTGTTTCTACAGGTAAACATTTTCTCAGAACATTCATTTATATCAGTTTCACAGTTGTCTCCCTTCCAGCCATGTTTACAATCACAAGTTCCATTTACTTTATTACAGAACATTGTATTGTTTCTGATACAGGTGCAACTGTTATTACATTGGTCACCATATTTCCATTGGCTGCACTCTTTGAATATGATGAAATAAATATATACATATATATTATACAAAGATATATATATTATTACATGCTTCTTTATTTTCACAATAAACAATATATTTGTTACATAGTATTTTTTTAAAAAAAATGGTTTTAAAATATATTTGATTACCAAAACCAATGTTACTTCTATATTCCATTGTTAGCTTTTTTAAAATGTTTTGATTTATAAATGATTATTTTTAAAATTTGGTTTATTTGATAGGCCTACATCAAATTAAAGTGAATATTTTAATTACCATCACAATCCCCATAGTCTTTATTTCCATCAAAGAAGCCAACATCACATTTGCACAAGTAGGAACCATTTGTATTGACACAATTTGAGTTGTTTCTACAGGTAACATTTTTCCATGAACACTCATTAATATCTTCTTCACAGTTGTCACCTTTCCAGCCAGTTCTACATTGACAAGTCCCATTAGCTTTGTCACATGTTTGAGTGTTTTCTGTCACACAATTACAATTCTCTTGACAGTTATTTCCAAACTTCCATTCACTGCAATCTTCAAGAAAATAAAACAAATAATTTTTTTTACAACACTAGAACGATATGGAGTATGCCTTTATTCTGCTTCACTTCCCCTACACTTATAATTTGCTTGTTTGAAAAAAAAAATTTTTGTCATGTACTTAATCTTAAACTAAGTTTGATTCTCAAATTGTGAATGCTTTATATTACATTAATTAATTTCAATGGATCTAAGGAATTTAATAGTTTTAATGGCATTCAAGTATATTTCAATTAAAAATGAAAATTTGCAGGTAAAATTATGTATTTTAATTTTTGGTTAAATGCTATAATATGCTCAAATTATAATTTTGTTGTACATTTTAAAGAATAAGTATATATATATTGGGCATTGCCTAACTACATTTTTAAAAAACATATATATTTTTTAAAATCATAATATCTACAATGTTATAAAATAAATACCTTTACAATCTCCTTGCTGATCATTTCCATCAAAATAACCAACATTGCATACACAGGAGTAAGATCCGTTTATATTGACACAATTGGAATTGTTTCTGCAGGTGACAATTTGCCCTGAACATTCATCTATATCTGTTTCGCAGTTGTCTCCTTTCCAGCCTTGTTTACAATCACAAGTTCCATTGATGTTATCACAAGTGTTTGTGTTGGATGTAACACAAGTGCAGTTCTGTGTACAGTATTTTCCATAATTCCACATGTAGCAAGCTTTGAAATGATTGGATGTTATTTAGTATTTAAAATAAATTTCTTATCTAATTAATTACTACACTGCCGAAATGTATCAATTATATATAAACTCCTTTTGGGATATCTAAAAAATATATTTTAAACTATAGCTTCAAATTCTTCATTTAAACATATATTTTTGAATGCAAAGTTTCAAGCTTTAAGCTATTTTAAGTTAAAACATACTTGAACAATTGCCATTTTCTTCATTTTCCACAAAATATCCAAGATTACATTCACACATGTAGGAACCATCAGTATTATGACAGTGAGAGTTGTTTCCACATAAAATATTGGTAAAGCTGCATTCATCAACATCTGTCTGACAGTTGTCTCTCTTCCAGCCCTCATTGCATTCACAAGTTCCATTTACTTTATTGCAGGATATTGAGTTGTTTCTGATACAAGTGCAATTGTTTTTACACATGTCGCCATATGTCCATTGGCTGCACTCTTTGTTTATGATAAAATGGACAAAAATTTATGAAACAAAAATATATAAAATTATAAAATTTTACTTTTTTTCTAACAAAAAGCAACACATTCTGAACCAAATTATGTTTAAAAGATGTTTTTAGAAAAATGTATTCAATGACTAAAAACAATGTTACTTCTGTAAACCATTACTGGAGATTTTTTAAGTTATAATATAAATCATTAAAACAAAATAACTTTACACAAAATGATATATCAAATTAAATTTAATATTATAATTACCATCACAATTCCCAAATTCTTTATTTCCATCAAAGAAACCAACATCACATTCACAAAAGTAAGATCCATTTGTATTGACACAATGTGAGTTGTTTCTACAGGTAAAACTTTTCCCTGAACACTCATCAAGATCTTTTTCACAGTCGTCTCCCTCCCAGCCTTGTTTACAATTACAAGTTCCAGTGATGTGGTCACAAGTTTTTGTGTTGGGTGTAACACAAGTGCAGTTCTGTGTACAGTCTTTTTCATAATTCCACATGTAGCAAGCTTTAAAATGAATGGATGTCATTTACAATTGAAAAAAAATTGCTAAAATAAGTGTTTACCTTACAGCTAATCTGAATCAATTTTAAGTATACTCCATTTAGGACATCTAAAACAAAAATATTTTATGCCACAGCTTTAAATATTTTCTACAAATAAATTTTTTAAGCAATGTTTCAACAAATAGACTAAAGAAATTAAGCTATTTTAAGTTTAAATTTACCTTTACAATTGCCATTTTCTTTATCTTCCGCAAAGTATCCAAGATTACATTCACACATGTAGGATCCATCAGTATTATGACAGTGAGAGTTATTTCCACATAAGATATTGATAAAGCTGCATTCATCAACATCTGTCTGACAGTTGTCTCCCTTCCAGCCCATAATGCATTCACAAGTTCCATTTTCTTTATTGCAGGATTTTGAGTTGTTTCTGATACAAGTGCAATTGTTATTACACATATCTCCATATGTCCATTGGCTGCATTCTTTAATTATCATTAAATTTAAAAGAAAGAAAATTACACAAGAGGTTTATATGGTAATAATTGTCCGGTTATTTTTCATCTAAAAGCAAGTTTTTTTATAGGTAGCATTTAAAATAGCCTAATTATTGCTTAAAATAACTATTTTACATTTTTCTTCTTTTTATCTTATATAACATTAATGTCTGAGATTAAAATATTTTTATTCTACTAAATTTTTCATGCTTTCCTTGTTTTCACTACCTTTTTTAAACTATAGTGCAGAGTTTACAATGGAATGAATCATTTGTATTTCATTTGAATTATAAAAATGTTCAAAGCTGTTTACCAAATCATCTTAATTTTCTATTTAAGTAATTTTATTTTTACATTATTGAATATAAAGAAAAAATTAATTTAATTGTTACCAAATTAAAATAACACCAAAAGTATACTTCAATATAGTCTAACTTGTTATTGTCATAGAAGACACCAACATTATTATCGCAAAGGTAAACAATATCTGTACTGCAACAGTAGAATTGTATCTATACAAGTGATACATCATGAACATTATCATGATCAATCTATATTGCGTGCTCCTTGCAATATTGTTTATATTTGAAAATCAAGACAACATACTGCATGCAGGTCCATGTTATTCATAAGGCTAATGAAGACAACATACTGCATGCAGGTCAATATTATTCATAAGGCTGACTTTGCTGAAGGCCAGGGGCCCACCAAGAACTTAGGCCCATGCAACTTTAAGCCATGTCATAGCAACGCTGTGTAATCCAAAATTCCACATTTTCAAGGGAGCCTTTAGAAACTCGAAGCCTAAGGGCCCTTTCATGGATAACTATGGCACTAGCTGATTGATTGTATGTCTTTCGTTTAGCAGTTGCAATCCATAATATAACTATTAATAGTCTTCATTATAAAAATAATCTCATAATCAGGTGAATAATATTTGTGTCCTGTACTTAACATAAGCGATTTGGCAAATACTTTTTAAATATGATTTATAACATTATAAATAAATAAAAATATTCGATAAAAAATATAATGTAATTGAACTAATTGTATGTCAGTTATGATAAATGTTATGTAGGCTATAATTATATTATTTTATTTTCAATTAATAATTGCTTTATATAAAAATTACTTTGAATACAATTCAATGAAATGTTCACAAATAGAGTAGTTTAAAGTTCATCAATTTATCCAGATTAATTTAAATGAGAGATTGGAATTGAATCCTCTATTAGAAGTTCGAGTTGGGTTCGTTAACAACTTCAGGCTTCTAAGACCCAACTGTCATTCGCAACACTCCCTTGAAATGTTTGTCATTCTGCCACACGAGCTGAAATGGGCTCTTTCTATCATATCTTTCCTCTCCCTTTTTTTAAATTAAAGGCTAAAGGACTATTTCCACCAGCATTTCCATCTAGTGGAGGTGGGGGGTTTGTTGACAAAAATGAGATTTTCCTTTTGTCGTTTGAGTCTTTCTCGTGCAGTGTTCACCCGGTGAAAAGCTGGAGAAGGGTCGGTTTTGGAGGTCAGATGAGACCTTCAGGATTTTGTGGGTTTTTCAGAAGGGACCATATTTTCATTTCTTAGTTTTATCCATGGGTAAGAGATTAGTCACTATAACAAGGATTTTTTAAGCATTAGATTTTTCAATAAAATCTTCTTTTGTGGATATTATATCCTACAGATTATAAAACAACACAGAAGAACATAAAAATAATTGTTAAAAAAACGTTTTTAAAAATCTGTCATGATGAATATAAACAACTAAAAATTAGAAAATAATTTAACATTTTATAAAATGAATTACGCAAAGAATGTCAATGCAGAATATAGTTTGTAAAAATTAATACAAATAAAACACATTTAAGTTTCGTCTACATTCAATTCAAATCCTTTGGTTACAAAGAATGCTCATCTACACATCTAAAGATTTTATTTGGCTACATAGTGTGCTCATCTGCATGTCTGCTCAGCCTACTACAGTGTATTTCCCTCTTCATCAACACACATCTCACTCCATCTAGTGGTTTTCAATTGTTAACAATTTGATTGACACATAAAAAGGCCTAATTTATTCTGTTTGTTTTTGAACGATAAAAGCTACTGACACTGGATAAAAAATATTCATGTACATAGAGTTGTTTCATCATCCACACACCCCTACCCAATTTTAAATCCAATCAAGCCAATGCAAGAAAGAGCTTTGGCGGTGGAGAGGGGGGAAGGGGGTTATACAAAAGGAGATCATTTGGTTTACAGAAAACCGTTTTACAATTGGGTTTTCTAGTTTTAATTAAAATTTTAAAAACATTGCTGGTGATAGTAGTGATGAAAAAAATTCATAAAACTTTTTCAGTTCTAATAAGTTTCCGTAAAGTTAATTCCGTTTGGTTTGTACTCAGTGACATTGACATGCGGGATTGGTCCAATTTTATCCAGGTTTCAAATTTGATTTGTTCGGTTTGGGTTTGCTTCGAGTTACATCTTATCTAACTACACAACTACAAGTCTTGCACTAATGTTAATACTGATCAACTTGAGCTTCTAATGTAAAATTACTGAATTGAACAATTATAACACTTGCAAAAAAAAAAAAAAAAAAAAAAAATTATTATAAATTCTATTAAAAAAAAAAAAAAAAAAAAACAATAACAAAAAAAAAAAAAAAAACAAAAAAAAAAAAAAATGGTTTTGGTTTGCTTCGATTTACATCTTATCTAACTACACAACTACAAGTCTTGCACTAATGTTAATACCGATCAACTTGAGCTTCTAATGTAAAATTACTGAATTGAACAATTATAACACTTGCAAAAAAAAAAAAAAAGGCCTACATTATTAGCAGTTCTATGACTAAAAAGTAAAAGTTGAAACAGTCTCTAAAGAATAAGCTGCTCTAATTAAATGAAAAAATGTTATTCTAAAATTTAAATATAAATGAAATGGTTTTAGAAAAATATATTTTCTAAATGAAATACTTTCAGCTTTGCAAATTTGAGGATATATCCACACTTGAAGCACGAAGAAAAGAAAACAATTCAAAATGCCAAATATAAATTTAAAAAGCCTTATTAAATATTCAACATTGACAGTGTCAGAAGTGAGAATTCCCAAATGGCCATTTAATGAGATTGCTGAAGTAATATTTTAATAAATATTCTAAAAGTCCCTAATCAAAATAATTGTTTTTTTTTATTGCTTTTGAAAGTGTAAACCACTTAGTTTCCTTAGCAAAATGTTTTTAAAAAATACTTATAAAAATGTTTATAGATATTATATTAAACATTAACAAAATGTCTAACAAATACTAAATATTACAATATACATTAAGTATAATTGTTTTACATTTGAGAAGCAGCATTTAAATACAACTTTATGCATAAATTACCAATTCAAAATGGAGAATAATATTTTTTTAAATATAGGAAGATATAAATTACTGGAATTTCTAAAAAAAAAAAAATATTAAAAATAAAACATTTCATACTCAAGTTTGAGAATGGTATTAAAATATAAAAATTTGATAAGTAATAAAAAAAATACTTCTAAGAAATGTAAAAATAAGTCAAGAAAGTAAAGTTTTAATTTCCAACTGAAATTTTATTGCTGACAGATTTTACAGATATTGATTTATTTAATTAAAATTTTAATTATTACACTTCTTTTGTGGACAAAAAAGACTGGATATGAAATATTTTAACTACAACTCAAAAAAAGAATTAATAAACCAAAAGTTTTCTTAATATAAAAAAACAAATTATAAATTTTGAACATTAAATCTCAGTCACTTACCTTGACATTCTGCAAGATTTTTGCTCATCAGGAAACCAGTGTGACACTGACACACATAAGAACCATTTGTATTGAGACAGTGAGAATTGGACCAACAGGTGATATTTTTGTCCCTACATTCATCAATATCCATTTCACAGTTGTCACCCTTCCAGCCTTCATTACATTGACACGTTCCATTTACATTATCACAAGATTTAGTGTTGGAGATTTCACAGCTACAATCATAGCCACACATCTTGCCGTATTTCCACTTGTTGCATTCTGAATAAAGTAAGCAAAATTATTAAATTACACCTCAGTTCTCAAAACTCTTTTTGGTGCTCATTTCTAATATCAACAAGATAACATATTGAAAAGTTATTTGTTATTAGCACAAAGAAAAATTGAAAATATATATTTAAAAAAAATATTAATCATTGATTGTTTTTGTTGTTAAATTAGACTAGCACATACCTTTACATTGATTTTCTTGATCACTGCCATTAATGTAACCAATGTCACATTCACACAGGTATGAACCATTTGTATTGACACAGTGAGTATTGTTTCCACAGCTAAAAATATTCTCATTGCATTCATTGACATCTGTTTCACAGTTCTGTCCTATCCAGCCTTGTTTACATTTACAAGTCCCATTAACTTTATCCCAAGATTGTGTATTGGATGTGTCACAAGTGCAGTTTTTACTGCACATGTTTCCAAAAGTCCATTCTGTACACTCTAAAAATAATATAAATTTACTTTGACCAGCTGAACAGAGAGATCTAATTATCCCAGATCATATATATGTGTGCACTAAAATTTGAAGTAACTACATTTGCATGCATCTCCGATTTTGAGCATGAAAATGTGAATTCTCTTTGGTTACAAATATGTATATTCAATTAAGAAATAGCAAAAAATACACATATCATTTTTAAATTAAATCTTTGAAAACATTTCCTGAAAATTAAGAAACACAAAAGAAGAAGCCTTTAATATTCTTTACCTGAGCAAGATTTTCCATCTGATTCAATTTTTTCTCCATCATTACAAAGACATTTGAAGCTTGAGTTGGCATTGATTTCATAACACCCATTAGTGCAGGAAGTGTTGGAACATAGGTCCAGATCTAAAGTGATACATCATGAGATAGCTTATTTTCAAACAAAGAACTCCTTGGAAATTTAAAAAAAAAACCCAACAAATTTGAAATCGAAATGCAATTAAAATAAAATATTTAAATAACTTAATTTTTTCCTTATACAGCTTGCACCAAAACTACCAGTACTGAAACTCACACATCTTTAATGTGTACTTGCATTTGTCAATTGTGCATGACTCCATCTTCCACGTGACTTATAAGTGAAATTAATTATATGTTAGTGTGTTATTTAGGTGACGTGCTATTAAATCTCTTTTTGAACGGTTCTGCCAACCTTAATAAAACATAATACCCCATCAAAATCACTTAATCCCTTACATAGGCGCGAATATAGAGTTTAACAATGAAATATTTTCCTATAGTAGATGGACTCATTTCTAACAACTGGCCAACATTTCTTATTTGATAACTCAGTGAACACGAGGCAGCTGGAGCTATGCATCTTGACAAACGCTTGCACATGTCCAATATTGAGTTAAGTGCTATTAATTATTCTTCTTTTTAATATGGATTTTATTTTTGTGTCTGTGTGGGAATGAAGATTATGCTGTCAGTCAAATATACCTAATTATTGAAATTGTCTTTAATACATATTTAATTATTTCAACAGAAATAAGAGATTTGTTCAATGTAATTTTATACCTAATGTAGAGGTGTAGCTAGAGTGTTTGGCACCCTGGGACAAGATTTATTTTAAAGAGCCTATCTTTCTTGTTTCAACTCTCAAATCCATAATTTTCATCAATAAAATATCAAAAGAAATTTTGGCATCCCCAACTAGTCTGGCACCCGGGACAGATGCCTCTGACCTAATGAAAGCCAATGTCACAAACAATAATAACAAAACTCTCCCAGGTCAATATTTATTAGTTTCTTAATTGTAATTTATTAGCAACAACTTTAAAAAAAGTTATGTTTCATTTCTTAATTTTCTTCAAAGCTTATTAAGTTAAGTTTATTGAAAATCTAAAGTAAACTATTTTATTTTTAAAAATTCATACTTTATGAATAAGTTTACCTGAACATTCACAGAAATGGCAGCTTTTTTCAAAACCTGGTTGGCATTCACAATTGAATCCCCCGTCAATGTTCACACATTGCTGATGAAGATCAGAGCTACAGTTGTCAGTTCCAATATCACATTCATTGACATCTACATTGCAGTTGCTTCCATTCCAGTATGGAAGACAGTGACAAGATCCATTGACCTTGTCACATTGATAATGATCTCCACATTTGCATTGCTGACTGCAGTTGGCACCATAGAAACCTTCTTCACATTCTTGTGGACATAGAAAATATAACAACTCATTTTGCTCAAATATGTAATTTTTAAAAACAGAAAAACCAACAAAAAACTGAATATTTGTTTATTATTATTTAAATAGTGGAACAAGATATGTTTTGGTTTGAAAGAAAGGTAATTCTTTTTCTTAATTTTTACATATGTTAATATAATCCTTATTTTTTGTTTTACCTCAAATCTATGCATCACAGAATTATGGGGGATGCATGCTTTGTTTTCGAAAATCTTAATTTACATTTCTAAAATAGAGCACTTTAGTTTCGAAACAATGAGCTCCATTTAGGTCTTCATGCATCTATGGAGCTCATTGTTTCGAAACTAAAGTCATGTCTGCTGAAAATGACATTTAACAAAAAAGTCCATTTAATTGTCCTATTTTTCAAACCTAAACATAGTTCATATCGTGTTCCACTATTTGTTTATTTCATTATTATTTGTAATGTTTTCAAATGGATATAGCCTATATAAAGTAAAACAATCAAACAAAAGAAAGAGGTATATGCAAGAAGTATTGGTAATCATTCCAAAGTAAATTTAGACATAACATTTTTTAGTGTAAACTTTTTAATGTTTTCTACATTTTTATTAGTGATATTATGATACATGATTCCAACATTATGTATATATCTTCATATAAATGGCAGTAGTTAATGCAACATTAATATGGAACATGATAAACTATAGTAAAATAATCTAACACTGTTCCATCTTTCTGTAGTTAATTTTTAAATGTAATCTTAACTTTTATATAGCCTCGGATATTTTTGTAGAGGACATCAGAAATTAATATTCATAGGTAAAAAAAAATCAATTGCAGTACGCTGATTTAAGCTGAATCACTTCTTCTATATATTTAGGGCCCACGATCAATTTATTGGTCATTTTGGTTCCTCTTATTAATTAAGGCAGCTACCAATGACATTGTAAAATTAAACTACATTACCTTCACAAAATATTGCCCCCTTTTCCAGATCCCAGAAGCCATCATCACACTCACAATAAGAAGATCCATTTGTGTTGACACAGTGAGAATTGTTTTGGCATGAGAAACTAGAGTTGCTTATACATTCATCAACATCGACAGAGCAGTTTTCTCCCTCCCAGCCATCCCTACAGTCACATGTCCCATAAACTTTATCACAAGATGCTGTATTGGAAACGTCACATTGACAATGTTCCATGCAATCTCTTCCAAATTTCCAGGCAGGGCAATCTGTAGAAATGTTATTAACCCTCTTAAGATTTATATTAATTTTGTTACATTTGAATAAAAATCAATTTTATGTTAATGTGAATGTATATATTGTGTTATGTTGTTTAGCTACTTTTTCTATATATTGATTTGTTATAGAATTTATTTAACTGTTTTAAACTTTCAGTTGTCTCCCCTCAAATTTCAAGCAGTTTTCATTTCTTAAACCAATGAGATTAAAGATGGGTATTTTTGTAAATTGTAAATATAAATTACTATAAATGTGGTTTTATCCATTCAGAACTTACAATAATTTTACAAATTTTGAAATAAAAGTTAGATTCACATTAGCTGACATGTAACTTTAAGCCTTTTCCACCAAAACAAGGTTGACGAGTGTGCTCATAAATAACAGTTTTAATACCTTCACAGCTAATGTCATCCATAGCCAAATGTTTACCAGCCTGACACAAACATTTGACACTGGTATTGCTATTGATTTCCATGCATACTTCTTCACACTTGTTAGGACTGCATAAATCAACATCTGTGGGGACATTGTGGTAAAATAATACTTAAAGAAAACAAGTAACTGCATTTGCTATAACTGATAATGCAATGAATCCTAAATTTTTATGTTGACTGAAATTTTGTTTAGGTGTTTGAAATTTAGAAGTAAATTCTAAGGATCTATGATAGTTAAAACAATAGAAGACTTAGGAATCAAGCAGCTAAGTACAATAAATTATATTTTACCTTTATAATAATACCTATATATAAAAACAATAACAAGGAAATGTATATATTAAAAAAATTATGATTTGAACTTATTTATTTGTATGAACATTAGAGATTAAAAAAAAAAATTAATGCTCTGATCCTCACAGAGACTATTAATCAAGTGATCAAATTAAAGTTTAGTAACAAATGTTATAGCAATAAATATATAGTAACAATGTTAATGTTTCAGCTTAAGCATTCCAGTAAATAACAATCTTCAAAGATGTAAATTATAGAAGTAATGTTGGAAAAATTTTCAATGACAGTGAATAAATGAAAGATGACTAAGTTTTTAAATAACATCTACAGCTGTAAAAAGATATGAACTGATTGAATCATTTGAGTTTCCTTACAGATCTTAGCATATCAAATGCTTTATGTCTCTCACCATGTTGCAATGATGGAAAGCAGTCATATAGCAACCAAGCTAATCTTTGCCAAATTTAATACGAATGGTAATAGGAGATTCTATTCATAAAAAGAAGATGACAAGATTTCGTGCCCTGATAACTGTGGCTCAATATTCCCACATTGACACTGGCCTCTTAAAAAGATTTGACATCCCTCCCCTTAAAGACAGATGAGAGGGACTCCTCCTGACATTCTTATATAAAGTGATCATGGGACTGGTGCCGGCCTAACCAGCAGGCACATACCACACCCCACAGAAGCCGGGTAGATTGATCAGAGCAAAACGCTCACTGAACACGGACTTCATCAGAAACAATAGCAAATGCTTCAAAGTGCCTCAGTGCAACACAGTGCAGTATCAACAATCTTTCTTCCCATGCACAATAATAGCATGGAACAACCTGAACTTTCCACTGTGAACTCGACATCAGTCGAAAGCTTCAAGGCTGCCCTGGCATCAGCTAGGAGCTGTTAGAATAACAACATCATACCCCCGAACCGTTGCAAAGATGCCAGTACATGGATGCCGCAATGAAACATTACCAGAACCAGAACCTTAATGACTTGACTACAGTCTGCAGCTAGGGTCTTATGAAATTAAAATGTCAATAAAAATAATCTCTGATAAGGAAAATATACTGAGTCAGATGTGGAAAAACCTTTAACAGCCACAATATCATACAATGTATTGTTGAACAGCACCAGCTTACCTTGCATCCGCTTACCTTGGCAATAGTTTTCCTCATTGCTCCTGCCAAACCCAGCTGAACATTCACAGTTGAATCCACCAGCCACATTTACGCACTCTTCATGCATAGACGTGTTGCAACCGTGGGTGAGATCTTTGCATTCATCAACGTCTTGCTCACAGTTACCACCGTGCCAACCAGGTACACAAGAGCATGACCCGTTGACCTTGTTACACATCTGGTGCTGACCACAGTTGCAACGTGCAGCACATGACTGACCATAGAAACCCTCATCACATTCTAAAAATTAAAAATCATGAAAACAATTCTGTTCAGTTTTCAAACAGCTAGTGCCAGATTTATGATTCAAGTTATTGTTACCATTTTATTTCATCAAATTACTCTAAAATGCAATTAATAGCCCTTTTCTTCATATTTTAGAAAAGCAGGTCACTCATATATTAATAGTGGATATTGTTTTTAGTATGATAGTTTGTATTTCCACTTCTAGATAATAATATTTCCTTAAAAATTAGTTCTAATTTCTTGAGTATTTATTCAATAAAGAGTATTATTTTTAATTTTGTTTTCACTGAAGATATATTTTATTGTTCAATTTGCAATATGCATAATTGGTTTAATTGTTTAAACCATCAGATTATTTTTTATAGTAAAATAAGTTCCTTATAATGATAAATAAATAATTAATAGTGTACCTTCACATATTTTAATTCCTTCAAATTTTAGACTAAAACCTTCATCACATACACACAGAAAAGATCCATTTGTGTTTTTGCAGGATGAATTAGCTTGACACATGGAAGAGTTATTTGCACACTCATCAATATCTTGATCACAGTTGTCTCCCATCCATCCAGTTTCACAAAAGCAGGTTCCATTTATTTTATCACAGTGTTTAGTAGACATCATGTCACAAGTGCATTGCTCACTACAGTTAGCTCCATACAAACCTTGCAGGCAGTCTGAACATAAAACATCAAAATAGCATCACGAAATAAATGCACATAAACACCTTGAACATTGTCGGAGAATTGAAAAATTAAATTTAAACCCAAAAATAATTAACTATATACACTAGAGGAAAAAAACCTGTTTGATTACTAAACTCTAAAAAATATATCACTTATTAAGTGAAACATTAAAAAATTCCACACAGAAGGCTCCCCAAAAGAACTGACCTGTACAAATGATGCCATCTAGGGCCAATGATTGGCCAGGTTCACAAATACACTGATAAGTGGAGTTATCATTAATTTCAAGACAGCCTCCTTGACAAGGAGTAGCTTTACATAAATCTACATCTGAATTTTAAAAGAGAAAAGGCTCTGTTAATATCACATTTATTCACTTTTCTAGAACACATTGTTGTTGCACATGTTTCCTAACATGGAGGAGATGTAGGTATGAAATGCAAAATTATTCTCTGTATGTGTGTTGCAAATTAATATTTGTATATTTCAAGGATTGTACATTTTCACTTGATACAGTTTTTTCTTTCTGCATATTTAAATTTGTACTTTTATAGAAATCAAATAGTATTATTAAACTGAATATCGTTTGTACCCTCTCTTTGGTATAGTTTTCTTTACACACTGGTTTCCAGTGTTTTGTTACATATTGCTCATTCTATGAGCCAAATTCTTTCGTCGATTAAATTTGCAAAAAGCTATAATGGTAGGCCTATATAACAAAATGTTGTAATTTTACAAAAGTTAGTCTTTAAAGATTTCTCTCAACAAAAAAATTAAACTGGATTTTAAATATAAAAGTTATCTCATTGAATAGTCCATCGTTATTTAAATTTTATTTAAGACTCAATTAAAAATATTTTTATTTAAGATTAATTTTGTTGTACATTAACAATACAAATTACAGTGATTTTTTGTAAAAAAAAACAACAAAACATATACCGTGAAGATAATCCCATCTTGTTTATCTAAAAGCCGATATCCAAAAGGAGATTACCCAATCACAATCCAGGAAAAAGGCGAGTGAGGGGAGGGGGATGATTTTGTGATGATTCAAATGATGGTTTCTCAATTGTGTGACAAATGTGTGATGATTGGGGAAAAAGGGAGGAGATCCTAAAATTGGCCAGAATAGCATAAAATCATTTATAAAAAAAGTATTTAAACTTCACGCAGTAGCTAAGCTATTTTGCCGCCCCTTTTCCTAAAAATAGCTTTGCAGCTGGTGGAAAATACCCACCATCAAGGAAAAAAGACCTAGTGCCGCCCGGGAATGATCGCCCACTCCCCACCCCACTATACACACAATCACACATCATTTGTGCAAAAAAACATAACTGTGCCGCCCCCCGTAAGCACTCAGGGTAGGACCAGTCAAAAGTCCAGCAGGCCCACAAGATGAAAAAGATCATGGCAACCAACGAGACAAAAGTATGCATGCATCGGACTCAACACACAAGCAGCCCGCAAGCTTCTTTTCAATGATTTTGGCTAAACTAGCTATGCTTTACAGGGCAATTCAAGTCAAAGTGGACCAACATCAAATCTTCAAAAGTTACTATGAAAATTCAGTCGAAAAAAGATTCCTATGCGCCATTTGGGTGAGTTAAAACAAACAAACAAAAAAACACTGCAATTTACATGTTTTAATCTATGAGTGGAGGCATAAATCATGAGAACTTGTATGCAGTATGAAATTAATTACCTTCACATTGTGTGCTGTTGATCAAAACTTTTCCCTTGGGGCAGAAACAAGTTTCTGTTCCATTAATTAATACACACAGGTTACTGCACTTTGAACTGTTCACACAAGATTCATCAGCTTTAAAGATAATAAATTATGTGTCACCATATTTTGAGATTTGTCTCAATTTACATTTTTTAAAATTTAAGAAATTTTTGGAACATATAGAAATTGTTTAAATTGTGTGCCAATTTACCTTTGCAAGTAAGCCCGTCATAGTTTAAATGCAATCCGGGATTACAAGAACATCTGTAGCTTCCTTCAGTGTTGTTACACATTTGATCACACTGATCCAACTTTAAGAGACACTCATCAATATCTGTTGTGATGATGCATGTAAATAGCACTTGCATCATTATGGTAATAAAGTGGAGAGACTGCTATCAGATTAGCAAATAAAGGAAATGAGTAAAGCAAAGAATGGTCAAACCTGAAAAAAGGAACGCAACAAAACAATGAACGTGTCAGTATGAAGCCTTTATCAGCAAACAAACAACTGAAAAAACAGAATTAAAATACAATATAGCACTTAGCTGAGAAGTAGTATCTGAGAGAGCAGCAAAAGAATTGTGACATAAAATGAGTAGGTGAGAGATTACATACAGGCAAAAAAAAAAAGTAATTTAATTCTGTCTTGCGTTCTTTTTTTTCAGGTTTGACCATACTTTTTTTTACTCACTTGCATCATTAACTTGATGAATGTGTTAACTCAGATTATTCTTTTATTGCTAAAATACATTAGAGTCTCATCAATGCTATTTATACATTAACAAAATACATTGTATAATTTGTATAAGTTTTGATTTATTTGTAATGAAAAATCCTAGTCTTCCATCAAACTATTCAAACTAAACATGTAACTGGCAACAACATGACAACAAATAATGATAATTTTAGTTACACCTTTGCCACAATGACACCATTCAGACTGAACATTTTAGAAGACAGTTTAAAGCAAACCTTGACAGGTGTTTGACGTAGTGTTGTAGGAATAACCAGTGTGACAGAAGCAGGCAAATCCGCCTACTGTGTTGGCACAGGCCTGTGAACACCGCTGAGTGTTCATTTGTGAGCATTCATTTATATCTGTCATGTAGAAGACAATCAGATTTTTAAAATGCATGTCTTTTAGTTCTACATTATTGTGTAGAGTTTTAAACTTCTATCTTAGTTTTGCTTTAAAAGAAATGTAAAATTTAGTGTCTTGTTTTAGATACCCCTCATAAAATGATGTAAGTCATACATTTCAAAATAGTTTCAAGTGATTATTTTGTTATCAAGCCTTTTTAACATTGATGTAACTTATAATGATAATGAAAAACATGTTTGAACAAAGTTTTATATTTAAATGTTAAAGTCTTGTAAAGAAGGGTCTGTTCCATAATTAGCACAAACATTTTAATAATTATATTTAATCTTGGCCTACCAACACATGTTCCATTTTCATCAAACCCATAGCCAGCTAGGCATTTACAAGTAGCATTTCCAGGCAAATTAACGCAAACCTCTTTTGTGCCACAAGATATTCTGCCACTAGCACATTCATTGATATCTCTGTCACAGTGTTTTCCTGGAGTATTAAACATTAAAAGATTTAATTTTTCAATTATTTATCAAAATCAAAACTGGTCTAATAATAAACAATGTTGAATTTTATTAAATTGGTATCTAATGTTGATCACCATGTCTCCCTCTCAGAAAGCCTCAATAAATCACCTGTATAACCAGTCTTACAGATACAACCAGAAACTGGATCACATTTCTCAGCTCCTATTCCACAAGCACATTCATGAGAACATTGCACACCCCAGGTGTCGTTATTACAGTCTGTAGTGATAAGACATAAATATAACACACTATTGTTGAAAATGTCTAAAAAATATAAATTTAATTATTTATAATTTTGTTGAACTATCAAAATAATTGTTTAACTTTAAATTTAAATTCGGGCACCCTTTGTGTTTGATATGGAGTTAAATTAAAGTCTAATGCAAAATCAACCAAACATTATTATAAACACTGAGTTAATGATAATCATTAATGTTTTATGCCACGCTGTTTAAACATGTATTAGTAGCTCAATGAGTCAGAAAGGGTTCCTTCTTTATAACTCAGCAAAAAATTTGATCAAAAGATCCACATCATACAGATTTAAATTCCATTAAAAAAAGTGTGTAGCTTTACCACTAACAAAGAAACTATAATAAATGTTTGAATCTCCATCAGAGATTTACCAAGGCACGTGCGTCCATTATTATCCAAACTTTGACCAGGTGGGCAAGAACAGTTGTAGGCTCCTAATGTGTTAACGCAACCTTCTTTATATGAGCAGCCGTTGTTCTGCGGTTGTGAACATTCATCTATATCTGTACTCATTAATTTGAAAATGAATGGGGGTAAACAATAACAAATATTTAATAAATGAAATGTATTTATCCTCATTAACTTTATGAATTATATCAAAAAGACAATCCCAAAAAGCTGAAACAAAACACTTATATCATCATCATCATCATCATCGCCTGTCGTCCCGTCTGGGGCATAGGCCACAAACAAAGGCTCTCCAGGCATCCCGGTCTTGGGCAAGTCTCTCCAACTGTCCCCAGTTGTGCCCACTCTTTTTGATGTCTGCCTCCAGTTCCCTTCTCCAAGTTGTTTTGGGTCGACCTCTTTTTCTCTTACCCTGGGGGTTCCAAGTCAGGGCTTGTCTCGTGATACTTGATGCGGGCTTTCTGAGAGTGTGGCCAATCCATCTCCATCTGCGCTGGCAGATTAACTCTTCCACTGGTTCTTGTTGTGTGCGCCGCCAGAGATCCTCGTTGGTGATGACGGTGGGCCAGCGGATTCGTAAAATCGTTCGGAGACATGAGTTGATAAAGGTCTGTAGCTTTTTTGAACCAGCTGCTGTTGTTCGCCATGTTTCTGCCCCATATAGCAAGACAGGTTTCACTGTGGTGTTGAATACCTTGACCTTGGTCTGGAGGGTCAAATTGCTGCAGCTCCAGACCTTTTTTAGCTGGTTAAATGCCGCTCTTGCCTTACCAACTCTCACTCTTATGTCGGCGTCTGTCCCTCCTTGTATGTCAATGATGCTGCCGAGGTATGTAAAGCTATCCACCTCCTCAAGGTTTGTTCCTTCCAGTGCTATAGGTGTGTTGCTTGATGTATTTATTTTAAGGACTTTGCTTTTTCCTCTGTGGATGTTCAGGCCGATGCAAGCAGAGTACTGTGCTACATAATTGGTTTTCTCTTGCATCTGTTGCTGTGTGTGTGATACTAGGGCCAGATCATCCGCAAAATCCAGGTCATCAAGTTGTTTCCATAGTGTCCACTGGATACCATTTCTCTTCTGCTCTGTAGACATTTTCATTATCCAATCAATGGTCAGCAGGAATAGGAAAGGCGAGAGCAGACACCCCTGTCTGACACCGGTCTGTACCTCAAAAGCCGCCGTTGTTTGCTGGCCGTGGACAATTCTGCACGATAGTCCTTCGTAAGAAGCCTTAATTATGTCTGTCAATTTTTGTGGTACCCCGTAGTGTCTAAGCAGCTTCCACAGAGTCTGTCTGTCGACACTGTCAAAAGCCTTCTCATAGTCAATGAAGTTGACGTATAGTGACGAGTTCCACTCCAGAGATTGTTCCACAATAATTCTCAGTGTGGCAATCTGGTCTGTGCAGGATCTGTCTTTTCTGAACCCTGCTTGTTGGTCCCTAAGATTGATGTCTATTGCCTCCCTCATTCTGTTTAGCAGCATTCTGTTGAATACTTTGCTTGGGATCGACAGCAGGCACGTGCGTCCATTATTATCCAAACTTTGACCAGGTGGGCAAGAACAGTTGTAGGCTCCTAATGTGTTAACGCAACCTTCTTTATATGAGCAGCCGTTGTTCTGCGGTTGTGAACATTCATCTATATCTGTACTCATTAATTTGAAAATGAATGGGGGTAAACAATAACAAATATTTAATAAATGAAATGTATTTATCCTCATTAACTTTATGAATTATATCAAAAAGACAATCCCAAAAAGCTGAAACAAAACACTTATAAGAGGGCAAATTTTATTTTTTCAAAAAATCCGGACATTTAAAATAAAAAAAAAATTTAAATGTAAATACAATTTGCAAATCACACTAAATAAACTTCATTGATATTAAAAACGTCAAAATTATTATATTTTTTTTAATTGATGTGTTGATTGGAGTTATTTTAAAATACAACTACCTTTACATTTGCTTTGATTATACATTGTATGACCTTTGGGACAAAAGCAGTAAGTTTGATTTGTATCATCAGTCCTGCATCCCATCTGGCAATAGAGTTTGGTGCCTGCACACAGATTAGTAACTGAAAATAAAATATTTTCATAAAATATAACAATGTTTAAATGAGGAAACAACGGATCAAATTTATTATAAAATTTAGTTTTTTTTAATTCTCAAAGGTGAATGCTTGAAACAAAAATTTGATCTTAAATACATTACCATACTTCTAAAAAAATACTAAAGATATAAAATATACTCATGAGAAGTTAACTATTCCTAAACAGTTAATGAAATAATCCAGATATTAATAATATTTCAATTTTTAAAAAAAAACGCATTTAAATGAATGGGATCGGCTAATAATAATTTTCATTTCATTACCACTGATACAATTGTGACGATCTTCAGCCAGAATATATCCAGTCTCACATTGGCAGTTGTAGCCGCCTTCAACATTCTGACAATAGTGCTGACATTGATCAGTAGCCAAGTGGCACTCATCAATGTCTGATATTACAATAAATATTTAACAATTACTAGAAACAATGCTAAATTTTAAAAAATAATAAATTAACTGTACATTATAAATATCATTAAACTTGGAGAATTTATTGTATTAATAATCGACATACTAAATATTTTTAATTAAAACATAAAATTTAAGCCAAAAAACTTTTATGTTGCAGAAGAAAAGTGAATTATGAATTAATATAATATCCCTTTTAGATATCATTAGATTTATATAATTTAAATATTTAATCATAACTTGACATAGTGTAGTTTAGATGTCATTTAAGTTTGTTTGGTGGTCCTCAAATGCTCCAATAGGAAAACTGCCTCATAAACTAGAAAATGTTGAGCTTTAATAAACAAGATATAGTAAAGGGACATGCAAGCCAAAATAAATTATTATTTATGAAATGGGGGAAAAAATTAAACCTTAATAAAAAAAACTCAACAGCCCAAATTAGGCAAGCAATACCAATATGTTAGTGTTTTCCATGAGACATGAAGAAGTAACAAAATTGTTATGCTTACACTTACCTTGACATTTTGAAGAATTTATCTTGGAGTATCCTTGATTACATCTACAATGATAACTTCCTACAGTGTTGACACACATTTCTTTATCAACATCACAATATGTATGTATCTCAGCTTCAATGCATTCATTAATATCTGAAAATGAAATATAGCTTCAAATAGGAAAAGGAAATATGTTTCTTAATTATAATCTGTTTATTACTTAATTCCAATGTAAATGGCATTTGCATAATTTTTTGTTTAATGTAATCATTTTAAATGCATTGAAATTAATTTTTCATATGACATAAATAATTTTTCAAAAAGGAAAAAATAATGATTTTTTGAAATTGCTATGTTGGAAGTTTTTAATTTACTGACATCAACAATAATTATTGTTTATTTAATTTGTAAAATATAGAATTACATTTTCTTAAACTACCAAATTATACAAAAACAAATAAATACCTCTACATTTGTCATCGGCCATCTCAAAACCTGTGGGACATAGGCATGTGAATGATCCATTTGTATTTTGACACAACTGGTTTTCAGGACAGATATCTGGGCTGATACATTCATCAACATCCACATCACAGTTGACCCCCGTCCAGTTTTCATCACAAACACATCCTTTCACAACATCACAATATCCATTATCACTACATTCACAAGTTTGAGAGCAGTTTACTCCATAGGAAGGCGAATCACATTCTGAAAAGGAACAACAATTAAATGTATAAAATTGTATATTCTATCCTCAATCTTTGATTTGTGTGTATAATTAAATTAGTTATATTAATGCTAATAATAATGTAGGCCAGCTACATTTATAATTTTTAGTATTATTTATGCATGAATTTTTCACTGTTCATTTATCTAAAATTTAACTAAAGGTTTATCTTCCATGTTTAAATTTGGTAACTAACACTTACTCCTACATGACACCGCATCAGAATCCAACATAAAGCCTTCATAACAGAAACAAAAAAAGCTTCCATTTGTATTTTGACATCCATGGCTGCAAGGGCTGTGGTCAAGACTGCATTCATCAATATCTGTTGATGGAGAATACTCCTTTGGAATCAAATACATAAATATAAACCGGAACTCTTTTGAACATTATTTCTTTGAAATATGCAATTGGTTATAAGGGAATTGATAAGAATTAGCCTTCACTAAAATGTATTTAATAAAATTCAAGTAAGTAAACATGTACTGTCTGTTTGATTAAGAATTAATTGCATAGCAAAATTTAAATACCTTGGCAAAGTCCTTTATTTTCACTGTAACCAAGGCAACATGTGATATTAAGATAGTCTACTTCAGTGTTATATATTTGTGTAGAATGATTAGTGTCTGAAGATTCTGCATCTAAACATATAAAATAATGATATTTAAACTAAAGCGAAACTAAAATAAACAATAATACTTTAAAAAATTTTTGAAAAACATTTAGGATATATATTTTTTATATAATTGGAATAAAATGTTAAATACATTAATAGTATATTAATTTTAGTGATATAAATGAAAAAGCAGAGCTTATAGAGTCAATGCTATGAGCATTGAAAGTTAAGTTAAACACATAATTATTTAAAGCTAAACTAGGGGAACATATTTAATACTTATAAAGTTCTTCTTCTCCTTCTATATATTAAGGGCCCACGATCTATTTATTTAAAGACCAGTTCCAATAATTTTCAACGACATTTTAAATAATTTTCATTTTTATAATTTGGAAACACATTTAATTTTTTCTCATTATTAAGTAAATTTAGATTAGCAATAAATTTCAAAATCTTATATTCTTTAAAAGAAGTGTAATTAATTTCTTTTTTAATACATATATTTACTGCTAAATGTGAGACTTTAACAATGAAAAGAGCTTAATGATATTTTACCTAATAATAATATGCAACCGGAACTGTCAATGTGAATGTCATAACCATGTAAACTATTACAAGTGTAGCTGCCTTCATTATTTACACATCTCTGTTGACATGACGTAGTCATATCTTGACACTCATTTATATCTGAACAAAGGATATTATATTTTGTTCATCCAACGACAGTTATCTAATTATCAATAATTTTTTCACATTCATCCATAATGAAATCATTAATTGATTTTGTCAAAAACTGTTACCTGAATAAGTTTAAAATATTTACAGATTCTTTGTTGTTGTTCAGAGAATACAAATTTTAATAAAACTTTATGTTTCCACGTAGGCAAAAAAAAGAAATTCTTGTTTAAATATTAGTCTAAATCCAAAATTAAGAATAAATGATCAAAAGCATATTAAAAAAAATTGTCACCAAAACATGTGTTTAAGTCTGATCCAAGTCTGAAACCTTGCTTGCAACTACATAAGTAAGATCCAATTGTGTTGGTACATATTTGATGACAGACTTGTGAGGGAAAGCTGCATTCATTAATATCTGTCGAAAAAATATGATTTTGATTTTACATCTATATAATAGATGCCAATAATTTAAATAAATTTAATAATTCAAAAATATATAATAATATTAGCATTCCTTAAAAATCAATTCTTAAAAAGAAAACAATATTTTTGGGCTTTAAGAATGATTGCTTATTTTAAGTTTAAAAAATCAAAAAAGAAAAAAAAAACATTTAGTCTGTTCATTGACTAGAAAATAATTAACTAATTTCAGTATGAATTTTAAATACTTAAATGTACAAATTAAGTAAACATTTTCTTACCAACACATTTTCCATTGTAGTACTCAAATCCATCAGGACAACATCCACAGCCAAATTCACTGGAAATATTTTTTTGTTCTGTTATCGTTAGATTTTGACAGACCTGTCCCACAGAACAGGGTTTAACTAGACAAGCATCCAGTTTGGTTTCACAATATGTACCTCATCAAAAAAATAACAAAATTAAAAAACGATCAACAATTAGAACAGTTTGTGGAATTCATGAAATGATATTATTATTATAATTTGAATCCCAGATGAATGATCAAATACATCACTGACAAAAAAATTAGAAAGGAAAAATTGAATTCTAGTTATCCCCTTCTCTTCCATCATTCAGCGAATATTTCAAGGTTTAAATTTAATGTTATATTCTACATTCAAACGCACAAGTAGTGGATAGTTAATACCTGTAAAGCCTTTATCACAAACACATTTCATAATCCAAAAGTAGCCATTGATATAGTCCATAGTCCTGGTGTTGTTGACATCACATTTGCCATGATGACTACATTCTGAGCATACAGCTATATTGATGAAGTATATTGCACTGTAGGCACCTTCTATATCTTTGGCTCGAATCCTGATGTAAATAAAAGCTGATCAGTCATGGTGTAATTTTTATACTTTCATTCCCACTGAGTATATAATATCAGATGGTAATAAGATAAATGATTTTTATTTTTTCCTTTTAATATTTAGCTTTGATGTAACGTAAGAGAGAGTTGGAGCTTGGTCCTAATGAAAATTAAAATTGATGGCTTGCAAGTTAAAAAATATCTAAATTTAAGTAGCATGCACAAAATTACAAATTAATTTGAGCAAATTTTAATTTGAAATCAGATATGTTCAACTATTGTCGAGCAGCTCTATTAAATGTCTTAAAAAAATAATGTGTAAATTACTATACATTTAATTTAAAATTAACAATTATATCTTAAGTTTTATACCATTTTACCATTTACAAAAATAAACAAAGTTTCAATAACTGTGCATAAAGATTGAACAATTATATCATTCTAAATTTTAAAAAATATTTTTTTTAAAGATCTCTTCCCTTGCTGATAGTTCTTTGTTAATATATTTTGTTTTTACATTTGTTCACTAGGTATTTCACTAACCCAAGCTTTACTGGATTATTTACATCTGGTAGGTAAAAAATCTGATGACCAGAGATATTGGCTTTTGACTCCTCCAAATCAAAGACGGGTTCTAATGTGACATTTTCATCATCATCTGTGACCTCAACATCAAGTACAGCATGGTTTCCACCTTTTACTGCCCACATGTTTTTAGCATTTAATAGTATTTGAGAAATTTTTGGTGGTGGGTTGCCTGAAACAAGGATGGCAAATATGTTTTCAATTACAACTAAAAATAGTGTTTCCTCATTAAAGATCTAGTATAATGACTTGAATCATCATAATTTGAAATGTATGAATGTAAAAATTCCAGCTAAACATAGAATAGCATAAATTATATTGCCCTTTTTTTTCTTTTTTGCATTACAAATTGTATGTTCTAAAATATGAAGAAAAAAAAATACCTAGACTCTGTGCAGATAGTTCCATTTTGTCAACGAATTGTTGGGTCATAAAAGCAAAGGTTTTATCTTTTGTGACCAGGAAATCAAACATGCATGTGACACTTGTGTTTTTACAAATCTCATTAGTTTCAGTGTGGTTTCCTTGATCACTGTACATCGGAATGAAATCTTCATGTTTATAATCTGTAGGGCTTTTATTTCTCTCATAAGAGAAAATGGTGTTACTTGGAGTTACCAACCCTAAGATAACAAAAATGATGATACTAAAGTTGTTTATAAGATGAGAATATAATACCAAACTTCAAGACTCATGTTGGGTTTGATTTGCTTTCACGTGCTTAAAGCAGTCCATGTTTTATTGCCCAAAATTTAAAAATGAACATTTATAAAATAATAAAATAAGCTAATTAAATTAAAACAAAACTAAAATAAAATCAACTAAGTTATCACAAGACTAAGATTTATTACTTTCATTAACTTTAATAATTTTAAATAAATAAATTCATAATTAATGATATGGATTACTATATAAACAAAATTTATTGAAAGTTTTCTGAAACAAATTTTTCTCAAACAAACTTAATGTAGAGAATTCTTAAAATATTTTAATGATTTTTGATTCATCATTTAGGTCTGAGTGGAAGGAAGTGGCGAGGCAGGCTAAAGCCCTACATGGGCTGTAGTGCCACAATAATGGATAGATGGGTAGCAAAGAAATTGCTAAATTTTTGTTAACAGCTTTTTTAGTTTAAAACAGAAAAATAAATTGTCGTAAAATAAGCATTGCTCACAATTTTTTATTATGTGATTCAAGATCTCTTTCTCATTTAAATCATTCGTCACATATGCTCCAGTGCTTTCAGAGTATTCATCTTTTATTAGTCCATTAAAATTTCCAAAAAGACCTTCCACTCTGTTTTTGAGATAATTATCAGCTGTAATTTCCAACTGAAGATTTTTCTGTGACACATGGACTTTAATGGAAATTCCTGAAACAAAAGTATCCATTAACAAAATGTTAAATGCATGATCTCAATTTATTTTTAATTTAACGCATAAAATAAAAAGAGTAAGTGTTTAGAGATTTTATACACCAAAGGTCGAAAGGGAGTCAGACATGTGACCATATGTTTGAGAGGTAGATTGAAGGTTTGAAATTTATGATATTACATCATGCTCAAGTGGAACTTGAAACTTCAAAAAAAAGTTATTAAATCCTATTTTTAATAAAGTGTGACTATCTGGAACACCATTGGCAGTGAGAAGGGCTAAGAAAGAAGAAGAATTTTTAATAAGTATTTACCCAGGGCTTAGGTCAGAACAACTGAATTGATGCATTCGTCTGAAATTCCCTACCATCTATAAACATATAGGCCCCTAGTCATTGTCCAAGTTTTAAAGATGTATTGTGAACCCCAAAGCAAACATTTTAACATCTTAGGGTAAATAATAAATCCCATCTCGTGTTCAATTCAATATAAATATGATGAAATGAATTGGCCATTAGTTAGTTAATAGTTTGATTTGATTTACATTTTATTCACAATATGTTTAATTCAAGAATATACCTTTTAAAATTAATAAAAATGATGCTGAAAGTAAAGGTTTATTTAACTAGATGCTTTTAATTTGAAATTCTTTTTGTAGCTAATAACATTTAATATGAAAATTATTCTTACCACAGGGAAATATTGCAGTTATAAAGTCTTTATCAGCAATATATTCCTTGAAAACGTTGATTCTTCTTTCAGCTATCAAGAAACTTGAACTGCCATAATACTTCTGAGTAACATCAATACCGTTGACAAGGACTATCATTGCTGGAAAAATAATAATACTTTTGCCTAGTGCTTGGTAAACTAAACACAGTGGATTTAATCTTAATCCATATTTAAAAAAAAAAAATTGTAATATTAATATGCTGTGACTTTTGTTTCTTTTCCATGTATTTTTCTAATACATTAACACGATGGTATTCTCTTTGCATTGACCGAAAATTGAATTTAATAGTATATAAATTTAAATATTTTTTTAAAAAGACTTCAATTAGAAGGGTGGTTTGTGCACGGACTGTTATCCATTGTAGACCAATTACACAAAAGGGAAAACCATGTATGAGTATGATTATTATAGTTAAAAATAATTGCCTTTATTTTAAAAATCACCTTTAGTCAGGGCTGGCCCTAACAATTGCGGGGCCCTATGCGAAACGGATTGCGCGGGGCCCAGTCTGAGTAGGGATAAGGATAATAAGTGAAAGTTAAGATTTTTTTTGTATTAGAAAAAAAAAATGCGGGGCCCTCTGCGGCCGCATAGTTTGCAGTGACCTAAGGCCGGCCCTGCCTTTAGTTGTCAATTCTGCAATTATGAGGGTGTATATTTTTTTTGCAAAAATTCCTTTTGAGTTTTTAATTAATTTTTTATGAAATTACGGCATGGACATTTTCTATTTGAACGTTTATAATTATAATTTATTTTATTGTAAATCCAATTAGATTAATTTACATTTAAATATCTATTAACAGTAGAAATTGTGTTTTGTTGTGTTTGAAAAAAAAAATTAAATTACTAGTTAACTAAGACTATATATTTGTTATTTTAGAATTTAAATAATATAAGTTTAAGTGACATCGGAGTTGTTTACACACTCTACACTTACATGTATTTGATGGTGAAAGCTCAACTTGAAAATGAGAGTTATTTCCCTCTTTAGCCGCAAACGCCTTAAAAACTGTTGCATTGGTTGGCTCCGAGTTCGTGGTCTCGGCCCTCGCCGTTCTGGTCTGTTAAAACACCTCTTAAATGTTATATAATACCGATGCGAAAATATCAATATATCATCGGATATATAAGTAAAAGATGCATCATCGATCATCCAATACGGTTGCATTAGGAGGTGGGGGGGGGGGGCACGGGTATTTGATTTGCCCCCAAAGTTGTGACGGGGAAAACTAGTCTAAACATCAATTTTGAATGGGGATAGCACAATACTGGTAATTGGTAAGGTGGCTTTAAAGTCGTGGGGGGGGGGGGGGGGGGGCACGGGTATTTGATTTGCCCCCAAAGTTGTGACGTGGAAAACTAGTCTAAACATCAATTTTGAATGCGGATAGCACAATACTGGTTATTGGTAAGGTGGCTTCAAAGTCGCGGCCTTGCATCCTCTTGATGTTCACTTTGGGATCACCAGTTTGCGTGGAGTTTGGAGACTTGCTAAGAAGGAACCAGCGTATTTTCCTAACAAAATCCCGTGTTTTCTTTTGAAGAAAACTAAGCCGTCATCATACTGAGACGGACGAATAACTACCACCCCCCCCCCCCCCCCCCCCCCCCCCCCCCAAAAAAAAAAAAAAAAAAAAAAAAACAAACAACCTCTAAAAATAAATAAAATAAATAAAAAATAAATACCGTGCAAATAAAATTGAAAAAAATAAAATAAATAAATAAAATAATAATTTGTAGTTAAATTATAGTGAATGTGATTAATTACATTGCTCCCGTACTATAATTTAGGGATAAAATCGTAAATAGTCATAATTCACACATTTTTTAAAATAAAATCACTGAAAATTAAATGCAATCTTCCTTAGATGTTAACATCTTTCTGCGATATTCCGTCTATATTATGATGATGTTTACATTTAGGGCATGATCGCTCTACCATTACAATCTTGAAAATATTTCGACAGACATGGTCCATAAAATAAAATGTTAGGCTTGACTTCAAGTACGCTTAATACTCAGTGAACGGTCCACAGAGCATGTGGTAGACTTTAAAGTGAACCCAAAAATTGAGAGCATGAACAACAGCTGTGAACAGATCGGTGCACTTTAACAAGGCAACACGCTAGACGTTGTAGTTTATTGTTGTAATCATTGATAATGAATTAAATTATCAACTCGAGTATGAAGTTATCAAAAGTGCACAAGCGAATGATAACAAAACCGCTTTTATTCAGAATGACAGTTATATCACTATGCTTAATGTCACTAGCTTATACTGAGGACTTTTTCCTTTAATTAGGTTCAATCTCTACACAATTGTCACTTAAGTTTTTACTATCTATGTGATGCATGCGTGTGGCGTTCCGAATAAACGAGGGACTCTTAATTTCACTTGTTACCGACTCTATAAGAACGGCAGGTTTCGCAACGTGTCTTGCTCGCTTTATAATTAATATCTGCGTTTGGATGACATCCGCAAATAATGTTTGTTAATCTACAATTAAGTCAGTGGACTAATTTGAACCTTATTTCTTGCTTGCAGGCAGTGGCGTCACCAGGGGATGCGGTAGGGGCGTACCGAACGCGTGACACTTTGACAGGGAGGGGGTGACACAAAATGAAACATTTAACAAAGTTTGCTCAGGTCTGTTCCAAAACAGAAATCAGTTAATACAACAACAGTGTGCTATGAGATCAGCGTGCCGCCAGAACAGGGTGCTATGAGATCAGCGTGCCACCAGAACAGGGTGCTATGAGATCAGCGTGCCGCCAGAACAGGGTGCTATGAGATCAGCATGCCACCAGAACAGGGTGCTATGAGATCAGCGTGCCACCAGAACAGGGCGCTATGAGGTCAGCGTGCCACCAGAACATGGTGCCAGCAGTGGAGATTTGCCAACAGGACACGGTGAGATTAAAGTATATTTCAAGCTGAACAGTTTGACACCGGAGCAGGATGTTACAAGAAAAGAGTGTAACCAGAGAAGGGTACCATCAGAACATTATGCTAAAGAACTGGGATGCCAACATAACAGGTTGTTACAATAAAAGTTTGCAAATAGATGAGGGTTCACTAGACAGCTCGGAGGTGCCATCCATTTTTAAAAAAAATGCTAGTTCTTTTCTGCATCGGAGATCATTAATTTTTATCTTTTTAATAATTCTGGTTCTTTTTGACATCGGAGATCATCAATTTTTACAGACTTTTACATTTATTTTAAAGGAGCGTATGGTTTTAAAAAGGAATGATTACATATTTAAATTAAGTTCTCTTCGAATACTGCTGATTAACTACCATTTATAATGTTTTTTTAAAACTGTAAAAAAAATGTTCGAGTTGATCTGGATCAAGTGACATTGACATATTCTGGAAAGTCTACCTGTAAAACAAATTCTTCTGATTCAATCGTCATCAGGATGTACTCTCCCCATCCATTCATTGTGTAGGTCAGTCCATCAAATGTTGTGATGTGAGGATCTCCGTAGCCGTAGCCTGTGTTGACGTTAAATGAATCAGAATGTTATGAGTTCAATTAATCTTTTAGCCATTTAATTTCTATAATTAATCACAGATCACTGAAAACTATTTACTTCAATAACTAAGCAAATTCATTGTTTCGTGAGGAAAAGCGAGGTTGGGAAGGGATGACCAAACGGATCGTTTGTGTGTACCTCTCTGTGAATGAGATTGCTTTTATAACCATATTGGAGTTAAAACTAGGCTGAGTTGATATAAAAAGGTAACAGTCTGAGAAAGGCATGTGTTTCTTTTGTTGCTTTTTTTTTTTTTTAATTCGCAAATTCAAACAATACATATGTATTGTGGCTTACCGTGTGTGAAACTCACTGCGTCTGAACAACCGAGGTCAGGAAACATTGTGTAAAATTTGTCACACATGTTTTTGCTTGAATTCTTACAGCACATGTCGTGAGCTTGCATGTTCTTCTGCGCTTCGTGGCCCCTCCATGGGTCGCTGATGAGGATGTGTCCCGAGTCAGGGGAGGACAGCAGGTACGATGAGCTCCTCAGTTTTTGGTATGCCAGTTCCCAGCTATCATTAGGATGCAGCTGTTCTACTTTGTAACAACACAGCTGTACAGAATCAAAACTGTTAACTATTTTAAATAATATATAGAGTGATAATGCACGATATGTGTGTTTCTAAATAGGTCATTAGGTTGCTGATGACAAAGAAATTTGGGCTACCCACTTCATTTAAAGTAAATAATCAATAATTTTTTGTGTGTCTAAATACTATAGATTACTCCGACACCTGTAATATTCCTTTGCCCACCAGAAATAAACTTCGCAACAGACTTTGCACGCGTCCAGAAAGCTGGTTCACATGAGAATAGCATGGGGATTAAATGATGCACCGGTTTAAGTGTACCCTTATGGCTCTCTCTCTAGAGAAGGAATATCTGGCTGCAATTGATCCTCTACGCATGCGGTTCTCAACCTGTGGGTCACGATTCCTTTGTGGGGTAGACTGACCCTTACACCGGGGTCACCCTAAGATCACCGGAAAACACATAATAATGAAGTAGAAACGAAAATATTCTATGGTTGGGGGGGTCATCACAACAAGGAAAACTGTATTAAATGGTCGCGGCATGAGAAAGGCTGAGAACCACTGCTCTACGCCGAAGAAAGGCCACCAAGCGAGAAAAATAACGTCCATTTGTGAGTCAGATGTCACGGCATTACGCCTGATCCTAGAATGCGCACACAATAATTTGTTTGAAGGAATGAATTAGGGGTTCTAGGCATTGTCTCTTCTTAGGCATTGGGAAAAGTGGAAAGCTGTATTTTGAAGATTGACGTCTTATCTAATTACGAAGAACTGAACACATCCCATTGGGAGATAAAGCTCCCTCTATCTCTGTCTCTCCCTCTTTCTCTTTCTCTCTCTCTCTCTCTCTCTCTCTCTCTCTCTCTCTCTCTCCCTCTATCATTCCGTCATCCACACACAGAAACATATATTTTGCGAGTATGCATTAGAGCAGCAGTATTTTTTACCTTATTTAAGTTATTGTTTTGCAGTTGCTTCCCCTTCCCCACATCGCTGATGGCGTAGCAGTGGATGTCCTGCTGCTCTCCGCGTTTCTCAAACAGTTGCCAGTGGAGCCCCAACCTATCCAACGTGCACGGGCAATTGTGCAGTTGTTTCACATTCAGGTCGTAGACAGAATCAGACATCAAATACAAGTTTTCACAGAGATATCTTTGACATTTAGCTGCCGAAGTGTTGACGCTGCCAACTTTATAAGACAGTACACCCACGTCACCTGAAAGAAAGCCATTTTAAATAGATATTTTGTCACTGATTTTTAACGATCATAAACCGCTAGCACATTTAACATAAACAAATAGGCTTCAATGGAACGTATAAATTAAAACAAAAATAAAATCATAAATAATCTCATTTTTCTCAACGGAAGAGAAATACAGATCTCAACTGTTGGGATTCTTAACTAGAACTCCAACAGGGGCTTGCTAAAAAACACAGTTTAAGAAAATATGTGTTTGTAATATTTATATGTCTGTAAAGAGATTTAAATAATTTAAATATTTTCAAATTTAAAAAAAAACAAACAAACATTCTTAGCTTAGCATACCACCACATTGTTTAATTGGGGAAAGGTTGGAAGGGGTTAAAATGTAACAATATGTAAACTAACAGACACATATTAGCCACTAGAAAGTATAATAATAGTACAGTGCTAGTGAATGCTTCAACCAAATTGATTGTTAGTGTTTATACGAATAAATTCAAAAATTTACGGACTATATAAATGACAACATTGTAACTACTACTAAAAGTAATGAGAGGCAAGTGTAGGCATATATTAATAAAAGTAAAAAGAGGCAGACGTATACATTAAGTACTAATAAAAGTAATGATAGGCAGGTGTACACATATATTAATAAATGTAATGAGAGGCAGGTGTGCACATATCTAATAAATGTATTAGCCAGCATAGACATTAATAATACATGAGCAGCATACCCGTATTTCCCCTAAGTTTATCCAGCATTGAAACGAGTGGAGTATTCGTGTCCCGGGCCAGTTTGACGTCAATCCCATTAGTGAAACCAATGTTGATGACCCGGCCAGGTGTGTACGTCCAGTTCATGCCATCACGTTGATATAGAAATATGACGTAAGACGTCTGTTCGTCTAAAGGGGTGAGTGAAAAATTCCATAAACAAAAGGTCAATAAAATATTTTTTTGTATCGAAAATTTAAAAAAAAATTTCCTAAAAGGAAAACATTATTTCTCGTAAATACACGGTATTATAGAAAGCGTAATAATATGCGCAATGCCTGATGCAGGAAGACACTAGAAAGGAACATTTGCGGAGGGTTGTCTGATCCAAATATGATATCACCGCCATAGGACATGTCATTGAACATTGTATGCATTTACAGAGCGGAAAGGGTATAGAATATCTCTAAAAGGTATTATATTTGATTTAAATATCCAATTAACGTTCGTATGAAATATCGAACTAATAATAGGACATATAATCGTGCAATTTAACTTAATTTGTGTACCATCAATTGGACTTTGGGCCGACACGAATATCCTTCTTCAATTGTCTTGAGCAATAAATGAAATCTATTTTTTTTGTTGCTATTATTTAATTTTTTAACTGCTGCGTTCTTACCTGCCCAAATTTTCTGTCCATTCCGTAATTCGTGATGCCAACCGCTCACAAATACAGTTTGAAAAGTGTTTTCTTCCACCTGTTAAATGTTGTCAATCTTCACTTATACAATGTACGCTGGGTATTGTCACATTAAAAGTGTATGCTTCGTGTTCTGTTTGGGGGTTTCATTAAAAAAAAAATCATTGCAAGTCATGTGCCTTGTATGATCTCTTCTGTACCCTATACTATTGAATTAAATTTGGCACATGCTGCTATTTAAAAAAAAGGGGGAAGAAATATATACTTTTTTTTACAGTAAAACTAAGAACAGGAAACTTTAGATGTTACAAATTACAAATGCCCACAGGCGGATGTAGATATTAAAAAAAGAAATAAAAGAATGGGTTGTATGGTAGTGCGAAATTTAAAATTTTTTTAAAACATTTTCGGACCGGAACCATACCACTGTGTAGCTTTCAAATAATGTCATGAAAGGATAAGCCTTTATTTTTTCATGAAAATCTACCACAAAAAATCTAAAAGCCATACAAATGTGGTTTAATTATTATTGTTTGCTTTATATTTTTGAGGGAATAATGTATCGATCGTCCATAAACTAATGGCATTACACATAAAAGTGTGCATTAGAGGTATATAATCTGTATATAATAAATAGAATTAACTGATTGCAAGATGTAGGCTTATCTATTTGTGTGGGTGTGTGGTTAAATAATGGCTAGGATTCAAATTAATATCACTATTTGAAGTGATTTGGAACAAATTACTACGCACTTCTGAAATATTGGCAAGTGGTTGAACTTTGACCCAAGTCGCAATGATGACAGTTGTAGCTTGGAAGCCATGGGGAGAAACATGAAATCTCTCTACGTCACGTTCTGCTCTCTCCAAGACCTGTGAGGTCCTTTCCTCCAACGTTGTATTACGTTCCGTTGGACACTTTTCAAACACACCGAAGTAGACTTTTCCTTTTAAGTACATGTAGTTTATTTGACAAAATAATAAGCCACCAATATATGTAAACATTTTTTTGGGGGTGAAAATTCAAACGAAAAAAAATCATTTCATGACCGGCTGTGAAAAATATTAATATTGAAAACAACCTGCCTAAAATTGCAAGAAAAATTCCAATAATTCAAACGCAAACAATGTGCAAATGAGAATTATCAGTATAAGGAGTTGTTTGCGTAAAATGGTTATAGTTTTACCTGTGATATATCCGGAAACAAAACAATAATAATGTATTGTTAACATTATCCTTAGGCGATCTTTATTACATAAATTATAATGATACCTTCATTGGGGTCTATGTCGGTCCAGAATGGGGCGATCACGTCTTGTTTTAAGACAAACGCGTGTTGCAGGTCTGGACTACCTGATACGCTGACCCTGCCATCTCCAAATAATATTATACCATTTGTCAACACCTGGAGGATTGTGAAGTGAAATAATAATTGAATGTTCCTTTTCAGAAAAAAGAAAATGTCTTCACTGACGTAGAAACTGTCAAGGCATTCCTTGCCTTGATCTGGGAAAAGGACATTTAATTTAGAACTACGTAACTTTTCGTGAAAAACTACATAAATAGTCCACTATTTGTATTATACATAACCGTACAGCATACAACATTTCAAGAAAATACTGTGCATAGTAAAAAAAATGCCCTGGTCGTTTAAGTTTAAATCATAAGAACTCATATTAATATGTTTAGATTGAATTTACACACTAAAATCTAACCTCGGAAAACAGATACTAATTTATTCATCACCCTTTGGAAGATGAAACCCAAGGTTGATCGACTAAAAAAATCATGATGTATGGATGGCTATTGATTGTCTTGGCCTTAGATGGTGAATTTTTAATATATAGACCCAACCAAATACAACTATTTCAGCTAAATATGAACGTATAATAATTATAAAATTTGCTTGCGGCCATCCAACGGGAGAAACTGGTATAAAGGGGAAATTCGTGCATCATAGGGACAAGGAAATGCATTTGAAGTCTGTCATATACGTCAGCTCGAGCCCCACAGTGTTCACAGTGCCCCTGACGTGACACTAGATCCCTGCCATTGCGTTGTGCGGTAGTGCACTTAAAAGAGGAGCATGCACCCATCGAATGTAGTCACATACGAATGTTCAACATCTAATATATTAAAAACAAAATATTCCCATTTTCTCGGGCTTGTCTCAAATGAAGCATGAAGAAATCGGAAGTAAAGCGTTTCACTTACTCTGACGACCGTGTGCAACTTGTTGCCAAAGGGCACAGCAGAACCTAACACAATGGGTCTGCTCACACGGACAGTCCCATTGTTGACTTGTTCACTCATGTTGCCAATACTGAGAGTGTCGTCATTCTTAACGAACCCATACAGGGCGGGATGCACTGATGGAGAAAATAATATGAGGGGATGATGTTGAATTATTAAAAGTATTATATACATTTATAACGTTTCCAATAGCGCCGGGTTTGCATTTCTGAATCCTAACACTAAATTAGTCTCACTAAATTGGCGGATTTTTTTGCCCGTTTAAAGAAAAATAATAAATAAAAACCTCTTATTTTATTAGATGCTATGTAAATATTGAGACAGGTATCTCAAATGTGATTCACCCTTCAAATTTTTTAATGTTATGTTACATAATAAAGTGTTATTTTTCATTTTATATAAATATATATATATATATATATAATATATATATATATATATATATATATATATATATATATATATATATGTATGTATGTATGGCATCTTTCCGTCTGCGGGAGACGATAGATTATCTTTATAGCTTGCAGCTCTTGGTGTGGCTGGTGAGACCAATCCTCGAGTGGCAGTCTCTGTTGCATTTCCTGCATACGAATGCGGTGGAGCAGTATTTACCGGCCTTCCTCCTCGCTCTTTTTCCAGCTGTTTCCGCCTTGTTTTGCTCCTCGGCATGTAGTGATCCTGCCTTCACAATACCCCGCCATGAGGATCGATCCTCTGCCAGGTCCTCCCAGTTTGAGATGTCGATGTTGGCCGACTTCATGTCTCTTTTGCATATGTCTAAGTATCTCAGACGAGGCCGTCCAATTGACCTTTTCCCTGTCGCCAGCTCGCTATATGGCACGTCCTTTGGTATGTGACCAGGTTGCATTCGCTTGACGTGTCCAAGCCAGCGGAGGCGTCTTTGGATTAACATGGCTGGGACGCTACACATGTTTGTTTGGGACAGGACATCCGTGTTGGGGACTTTGTCTTGCCATTTAATGTCAAGGATATATATAAACATTTAATTTTGTTTAAATGGAATTTTTATAGTTCCATTCCTCTTCTTATGTGATTCACCAACCTATGTTAGGTGTCACAAAACATTATTGAAATACACGAATAGATATCTGCCATCCTTTATACTCACATTTGTATAAAGTATAGTTCAAATTTTTTTAAAAGTTACCAACTCTTTGATATTTTGTTTTTTTCTAATTCAGTTTTGACTCCAGCCCCAGCTTCATGAACATTTAGTAATCTTTTGCCTATTAAACTAATCTTCAGATAAAATATTTGGAACAGTTAAAAAACACTTAATAATTCATTGAATAACTTAAAAAAAAATTTAAATAAAATTGTTTAAAAAAAAAAGGAAAAGAAATTCAATTTTTGTAATTTACTTCATCTATTACCATTTAGCATTGTTATATGTTCAGATGTGAAGTTGGTCAGCCAAAAAGGAAAATGAAAATGGGAAATGAACGATACTAAATGAAATCGTGTACCTCAGAAAATCAGCACGATAAAGCTCATTGTTGATTTATCACTTTGAGCACTTTGTTATTATTTTTTTTTAACCTTAAGTAAAAATGACACATTTTTGCGTGCATCTATGACCTACATACCTGTTTGAGCTGACGTATAACAACACTGAGATTCAAGCAGGAAGAAAACCACGATCCTCCAACACATTCTCTTCAATTTGTTACTGACTTCCTAGACTTGCTTTAGAGAACATGTCATTATAGTTGCGGAACTGAAATGAGAACACTATCATAATACAGTAGCCCCCGATCGGGCCACGGGCCACAGCGGATGACACCTCACAGTGGGTCGACACCAGAATGGAAAAAATGCACATTTAAGGATCTCGTTCGGTTTATTTTATAACTGATTTTAAATAAACATACGAAAATAATTCCTCTATAAATGGTTGACCAGGTCGGCGTTTTATCAGGACTATGTTCCACCAGACAGGGGGCCCTCAGTGCAGGTTGCCACCATAAAGAAACATGCCACTAGAGCACGCTGCCACTAGAACAAAATGCCACCAAAGCATGTTGCCACCAGAACATCATGCCACTAGAGAGGCAGTTTTCCCACCAACAAAACATGCCTGCATAGCATGCTACAACCAAAGCTCTGGTTGAGTATCCTTATAAGATTAAGACTCAGTCCTGCTAGGACTAGGAGCAAAAGGTAAGGCTGTTGGCAAATGCGCCTAATAATGATGATTAATTGGAGTCACATGTTACCAAAAAACTCCAATTTTAGCAGTACATTTTAATGTTGAAAGATATACAAGATATACACATTTTTTTAAAGTGCTTAAATACTGTTAACTGACAGTATTTCGTTTATGTAATACTAAGTTAAGAATGAAATAACAAACATTATTATAATTGATAAAGAGTTGTCTGACAGAGGAGGAATTAGAGGGAGCCCATGAGGAAACCTATAGGAAAAGAGGGGGGGGGGCGGTGAATTGTTGAGTTAATCGCTTCGGGGCTATAAACTCTAGTGATGCCACACCCCGAATGTACTCTCTAAGCTGAGAAAGCATAATTTGACAAGAAAAATGTTCGGCGCAAAAAACCGTTGAGGTATTATTTACAGGTATAATCTTATAATAAGAATAGATTCTCGACAATTAAGAATGTGTTTTGTTATGTACAATTCTAACTAGGTGGATATTGCCTGTCTCAACATTGGACAGAAATCTACAGTCTCCTTTAGTAATTAGTTTTCTTTAATATAGATCTCGATCATCTATTTGTATGTTATATTTTTTTGTCTTCGGTTAAGGTCATGCTATGTTAACAAATAATTGAACAATTGAATGTGTCTTTTTATTTTTTTTTAGGTTTTAATCATTTTCTTGGGACATAAAGATTATGCTAAGGCTATTTCTCAATAAATGTTAAAAATAACTATATTTTGAAGCTACTGTGGCCTTTTTTATTCCTAATGAAATCTCAATACTTGTGATGCACACTCACCATTGTTTCCCCTCCAACAGATGAATAACCTTAACACATGCAACAGACGACGCACCAAACCATCACACACATAAAAGCTATCCTACGGAATTTTGAAATGTGTTAACTATATGACTGGATTGCCTACCGAATACTTTCAAAGCCAGACAGCCCTAATAAAATAAAAGGAAGTGTTTGTACAACAATACAATTTGGGTAAACTCAATTGTTGTGCGTCTACACACTAGAGAATTACACGAGTAATACCTAACAACAACAAAAAGCCTGACCAAGATTTGACACTGCTCGCAGACGTTAATCTAATCGCACGATGACACACAATAAAGAAATATTTGGTCCCGTTATGATTCTATCTTTTCAATGAAGCAGACGCCTTGAGCCTCAGCACTCGACAAAAGCCGTCACTACACGGTGCAGGCAAATGCGGTTGATTGACAGTTTCAGTTAACAGCTATTTCAATTCCCGTTTGAAAATGGTAAGGGAAAAAAACAAAGTTTTAATCTTTAAGGTTTCGAAAATTAATATGTTCGATTTTGCATGGCAAATAAGAACAATGATTGTTGTATATTGATAGGAAATGTTTAGGAAATCCCTTGGCTGCTTGGAGTAGACTCATTTAAGTCGTTTCAGGCAGAATCATCATCGAGCCAAAAGTAAATGTTCTAGAAATGGAATTAAAGCAGGTCAATAAGTTATCAAAATGTTTTATCGAAAATTGTCAAAGATACTCATATATACAAATAGTGGTAGACGATGCTGGAAAAATCTGTATTTTACGTTTGCACGATGGCAGCTAAATAAATATCTATTTATATTTGACATCATGATGTGTGAATGTTAACGTGTAGGCTACTCATTATTACACCATTTTTATTCCAAATAGCCGAAATGTCTCAGTTATTCCACAGGGGACCGATTGAAGGAAGAAGTTAAAATATTTTTGAAAGAAATGAGTTCTCCCTCTAGTCTGGAAAGACATGAGTCGAAGACGTGATAAATTGACATGACCTCATCAATCACCAGAAAGACATGAGTGGAAGACGTGATAAATTGACATGAGCTCATCACTCACCAGAAAGACATGAGTCGAAGACGTGATAAATTGACATGAGCTCATCCCTCACCAGAAAGACATGAGTCGAAGACGTGATAAATTGACATGAGCTCATCACTCACCAGAAAGACATGAGTGGAAGACGTGATAAATTGACATGAGCTCATCACTCACCAGAAAGACATGAGTCGAAGACGTGATAAATTGACATGAGCTCATCACTCACCAGAAAGACATGAGTGGAAGACGTGATAAATTGACATGAGCTCATCACTCACCAGAAAGACATGAGTGGAAGACGTGATAAATTGACATGAGCTCATCACTCACCAGAAAGACATGAGTGGAAGACGTGATAAATTGACATGAGCTCATCACTCACCAGAAAGACATGAGTGGAAGAATTGATAAATTGACATGAGCTCATCACTCACCAGAAAGACATGAGTGGAAGACGTGAGAAATTGACATGAGCTCATCACTCACTAGAACTCATCCTCTTACATTTCTTTTTAAATGGGTTTAACTAAGTGAAAAAAAATTCACCAAGGAAAAAAAACAAAACAACGATCATGACAGAGTAAATGAAATTAACGGCTCTGTAGATTTATTAAATTGGGCTAATGCAAACCTGGCAAATATCATATACTATTTGATAACAATTGTTGGAAATTACTTGCAAAGATCATATAATATTAAATCACAATTGTTGTAAATCACTTGAAACGATCTTTTACTATTGGATCACAAGTTTTGAAAATTATTTGCAAAGATCATATAATATTAGATAACAATTGTTGTAAATTACACAGATCATATAATATTAGATCACAATTGTAAATTAGTTGCAAAGATCATATAATATATCACAATTGTTGGAAATTACTTACAAAGATCATATAATATTATATCACAATTGTTGGAAAATACTTGCAAAGATCATATTATATTGTATCACGATTGCTGTTAATGATTTGCAAATATCATATAATATTTGATCACAAATGTTGGAAATTACCGTAATGCAGGTGTGTCTAACTCAATCACTGGGCGGGCATAAACTAAAATCACATGTAAGTTTGCGACCCGAACTGGATAAACATTCAGTAAGCGGAAAATTAATCTTTAAAAAAAAAAAATATATATATATAAATGAAAACAGAAAAAAAGTTTTAATAACAATTTTTTAGAGCTATATGTTTGTCACATTTTCTTGGCTACAAAAAAAGTAAGTTCGTTTTATGTTGTTAGTGACGTTATGAGTCACTGAGATTCTCATGAGCAACTACAAGTCTTCATCAGTGAGACGTCTCCTGTGTGATTTTTTTGTTAAATTTCATCACAAAAAACAGCTCCACACTCATGTGTGCTACCCAACTTGCTCAGAGTTCGAGCCGCATGTAGACGAAGCTGGGGCATCTCTTCAGAAATGAAATGAGTGAACTGCGCAGGCCAAACTGTGTCGTAATTCGCCTTCAATGTCCCATTACACTGCAACTCTATTGGCTCCATCTGAAAATTTACAAGTGCAGTTTCCACGTCTATGAGTAATGGGTTACGAAACAGCTCGAAATTAAATTTCTGTGCTTTAAGGTCACTAAAGCTCCGTGCGAACTCTGCGCAAAGAAGCTAAGTTTTTCAGCAAAGTGTGCATTGGGAAACACCATTGCGTTGACTTGGATATAATTGTGCGCCAGTCAAGACCTCGTTGGCCTGATATAATTGTTCGGCGGGCCGGACGTGGCCCGCGGGCCTTGAGTTTGACACATGTGCCGTAATGAGTTTATGATTATGAAAATAAAAATCCAATTCTGAAAAAGATATTTAAGTTAATCATAATGCCTGTCTATCCAGGCGTTGGTTGGGGTCAGGGTGGGGTGGGGGGGTGTCATCTTGTTTATGTTCAAGAGAACCCTGTCTTACAATCGTGTCTCTCTTCACAAACGTGCCGGGCCCCAGATCAGTGTTGATTCCCACATTGTTATCTCGTGTTCTAGATAACCTTTGACCTCTTGTTGAACGAAACACCTTCATACGACGAGGTTTACATACTCTTGTACTTAATGATGTCAGATATAATATATGTTGCATTGTTGAACAATAACTTTTTAATTTTATTTCTTTTTTTAAAATTACTTTTTAAGAAAATATTATATAGAAGCCCCATTCTAATAATTTATTTTTGATGCATCATTCAGTTTTAGACCCCAATGAAGAAAATAAATAAATTTGTGGTGTTATTTCCAGAGCATTATATATTGAATCGTTGTGAGGTTATAAGACTTGGACAAAAACAAAAACATGAACGTCCTGAAAAAAAAAATAAAAAAAAATAGATTTTTAAATCTTTATCAGAAAATACAGTTTATATATTTTTGTTATCTTATTCGTCATTTTGCTGTTATTGTAATCCCCCCCCCCTTCCCCAAATTCCCTTGCTTCTCTAGTTGCAGTGAATGTACTTTTCATTTTAAGTTTATTAACACCACTTTGTTATCAATTCTGTTACCGCTTTTGTTATCGCTCTGGCTTTAAGCATGATTTTTAAATAATAATAATACTAACAATAATAAGTTCAGTAAATGTTTTATTCAATGCATATAGCCAAAAGCGTTTCACAAATAAGAAGGGGGAACACAATCACAAAATTGTGTCATTAATTTTTAGTCATTGCAGTGTTGATGAGTGCACACCAAGACACAACGAGCAATGTGCCTGTACCGATTGACCTATGCATCTGACCTAATGCCAGCAGGTGTCACGGTGATAAGCAGTGCTGATAGTCAATCGTAAAATAAAAAAAGGCTGACGACTTAATGATGTACATATATATATAAACATTATATATATTCAATTTAATTAATTGTGATATTTATTTTCTTTAAAAAAAGCGTTATAATTTCAATGTAAACTACTTGTCTTTAAATGCTCAACATTTTTTGTTTGTATAAGGGCATTCGTCTACTTTGTATAAAGACATTAGTAAACTTTGTATAGAGACATTTGTCTTCTTTGTATAAATATATTTGTCTACGTTGTATAAAGACATGTTTCTACTTTGTATACAGACATTTGTCTACTTTATATAAAGGCATTTTTTCTACCTGTATGAAGACATTTGTCTACGTTGTATAAAGACATTCATCTACTTTGTATAAAGACATTTGTCTACTTTGTATAAAGACATGTCTAATCTGTATAAAGACATGTGTCTACCTCCGTTTATAAACCACACATTACCATAACATTTTTAGATTTAATGGACAAACTCGATTTTGTTCTGTCCCATTAACTGGTATGTGCAGAATATTTAGATCAGTGTGTTCGATCGAACCCCAGGGGTTCGGTGAGTCAGTGTCAGGGGTCCAAAAAAAATCAGGAAAAAAAAAATCATATTTTATTTTTCCTATTAAGAAGGGTTCGGTGAATGCGCATATGAAACTGGTGGGGTTCGGCACCTCCAAAAAAAGGTTAAGAACAACTGATTCAGATGGACACTCACGATCTTATTAAACTACGCACAGTTTCAGTTAGTTTTGACTACTTTCCAGCCTGATCTATGTAAACAGCTGATTCCAGATGTTATTATCAATAAGTTGGAAATCTGCATGCTCCCCAACACTTTTTATTTGATCCACATGGCTGTGAAATCTCTGTGGTTTTTTTTTTTTTTTTTTGTTGGGGGGGGGGGGCATTAATTTTATACTTTTTTAAAAGTTCACTTTGGAAAATAAGATTTGAAAAACAATTATTTTGTCAATATTTCTAAAAATATATATTTTCGGAATATATTTTCAAACAGAAGATTTTTTTCCCTCCAAATTACAATTCGTAATTAGTTGTTTAAATCATTATGTATATAAAATTAAAAAATTATAGTTTATTGAAAAAGTTAAAATTTTCCTGATCAATATAAATTGTGTATATCTCAAGCTAATATGTGTGCAAAAAATCTAATGAGCTGAACGGAATTTTTAAAGCCCAAAGTATTTGCCTCGTAGCGTAAATAGTTTAAAATAGATAACATATTTCTTTATTATACTACTTTATATCCCCGATATCCAATTTTATTTGTTAAATGTTTTTTTAGTAAGGTAATCGTTGCAACAAAAATAATTTTACTTTACCTTTTACGGTAATGTATCTAAATATAAATACACTTTAAAAAACGTTTTTAATGTATTCCATATGTTAAAAATGTACTTTTATTATAATCTAATTTTTTTTCAAACCTTAATATTTAAAGTAAACATACAAAAT